AAACCACCGCAATCCACCGGCGACAGCTTCTAGCCTCGTACCCTGGCGACCAAAGGCGTCCACAGCCTTCTTTGGGCATTCCACCATCATCACCTTCAAGGCACGTCCGCAGCCGTTGGTTGGAATGGGTATTGGTTGCTTGCGGATATTGGGATCCTTTTAGGTCAGTCGGGTTGAACAAAGAGTTTCAGATAGATTCTCATCATCTATCAGCACCATTTGTTCTTCCAGAAGGACGCCTATGGGGTCTCTGTGGACGTGCTTATGAGACATTGTGAACACTAGCTCCTTGCTGCATAGCCTACACGAACCTCAGTCGCCACAGACAAACCTATAGCAGGTCAGCGATCTGCCTGATTCACTTGGGGAATGGTGACGTGGTGTCGTGGTTCTGACCCTCTTAGTACTCCATGACCCTTGCCGCGGAGCAGCTTTTGTGCACGCCCACTCCAGGTTCTTTGGCGAACCTTCCTGGAGGCGGGGTGTCTCTTTTGTGTGTTCACAGGTGGTTGCTCTTCGGCACGGATGGGTCTGTCTTTTTTGAGGGGAACCCGTTTTTTGTTGGTTTCAAAGAGAAAAACAACAGGGCTTTGTTGACTGGCAGTTGCATAGGCAGATCCGCGGCCCGCTGCGAACTCAGTGCGACCACAGGCAACCCAGACCTGGCATGCTTTCTTTTTCCTTCGGTTGGGTGTTTAAAGTTATAATTAGTTTTAAACCAACTACCCCGAAAGGTGCCTTTTTTTCCATAGTGACTAGAGGTCTGGGACGAATACGCGTTCTCTCAGATTGCCAGGGCACTTTGGATAGTTTAGAGGCAAATTTGCCATTTTGGAGTCCCCTTCAAGTTTGCCACCGCCTACATGCTGGGATTTGCATTTATTTGCCTGATACCTGGACCGGATTTCATGCTTTCAGGGCACACGCTGAGGCTGCACACCCGGATTTTAGTGTATGGTGCCTTGATGAACACCTGCCATAGGACCATACCCGGAGAGCAGCATGCTTTCTTCAGTCAGCAAGCATAGCACTGCCTTAAGTCAGCAGCGCAAGGAGGGGCCCAGACACTGGCCGAGCTGAAACAACAGACCGTTGCGCACTCTGAAGCAACACGTAGAATCTACCAGGCCAGCATGCTGAATGCATGATTTGATTTAGAATTAATCAGGACGACAGGCTCACATCAACAGACACAAGTGAACCATCCCGGCCGAGCGAGCTGCTTGTTAGGTTCAAAGAGCGCAACAGGCTTTGTCAGCTGCTATTCTGGTTTGCGCTAAATTTGGGTCAGAAACCATTTGCAGTGCCTTCGAGCAGCTCCAGACTCCAGACAGACGATCCGAGCAAGCAGGCTCAGTCTAGAGTGTTGGTAAATGTAAGTAACTGCACGCAACATTGCACCGTTCAAACATGCATGATGTACAGCCATTTGCTCAGTTTAGTGCTTGGTTTTGGACCATTGGAATCAAAGATCCCAACAGCCTCACAGGGGGCCCTTGTGAGCAGACCGCTAGGGACACTTGGTGTATGGAGGGAAGGCCATGAAATTGTCCTGTTGGGACATCTCCTGGGGTGCAAAGTCCCTGTGCGCCCAAGCATTTCCCTCTGTGGCTGGTTTTTCTTGCAATTGTTGATTGAGATTTTGTGTTTTTGGGGTAACTTCCGAAAAGAATCCAAGGAGCCCTGAGGAATGCCAGCCTTCTCCCAGCACCTCTCCCTTTTCCAATGTACCCTGAAAGTTACTGTACCGGTGCCTCAGGTCTTGCGTGCGTTTGCCGTCCAGAACTGCCTGGAGGCAGAAGAAATGCGGGGATGATGCGAGCGTAGATGGTTTGAGCAAGGCTAGAAGGTTCACCGCGAGAGCTTCTTGGATTGCCAACTGAGTTTCTATTGCGGGCCACAGCCCAAGGAATTAGGGGAGTCAGAGCTCCAGGTTGGGCGGATAAACAAAGCACGCGTTTTTGATTTGGCCAGTCTCGGTAATTCCGGCCGTGCGGTCGCAGCCAATCATGTGGGTTGCTCTGAAACCAGCATCTGAATTTCGATTTGGAGTAAATCATTGGTGAAGCGGGGCTGCGAAACTTTGTTGTTGTAAGCATGCCTCCACCCGCGACTCGGGGCAAGTTCACCTTTGGGTGCCTCAAACAGAAGCCACAGAACTCGTCCATTCGTTTCTTGTGAGACAAACCCATTAGAGCAGCGCCGACATGGTCCGTTTGTTAGGTTTTACGCATGCCTGGTTTCATGGGGGCAGGAAGGTCTTTCTGCAACTCATGGTGTTGGAAGCGCCAAAGTCAGATCGGGTTTCTGCTCATGGCCCTTTTTTGAGGGTACCAAATCCCATTTGGAGACGTGCTTACCGTCGCAGTTGCTCTACGCGGCCTATGCCATCTCCATGTTCTTCGTCTTCGGCGTCCTCATCCTGTGACCCCTGGATTTGGCACCAGACCCCTTCCGTTGCCTGGGGTCAATGGGGGGGATGTCCTTAAGAAGGCCTTGCAAGCACATGTCCAGGGTTTCTTCGGAGATGGGCCGCGGCTAGTGGGTTGGCGGAAGGAGGTTTTTTCCCGTACCTAATGTTTACCCCCGAGTGATGCCCCACTAAAAGGAGACACCAAAAATTGATTAACCAGGGGTTTATTGGGTCAACATTAAGCAAACCTTTGTCTTTCCAACAGGACAACTGCCCGGCAATCACGTATTTGTTGAGGTAAGAAATGTAAGTGCTTTGTCAACAGGTTTCTTCTTCATTGCGCTGCAGGTCCGAGAAGTTTGGACGTGTCCTGGCGGACCCAGAAGTGAGATGTTAGAGGCACGCTTGTTCCGTGGCTTTGAGCCTCGAACCTTTCCATGGCGGACTGACTGGCATCCGCTCCTGCCTTTGTGCCGGGCCATGTAATCTGCCTAAGCCGCACGTTGCTCCGGAGATTCTCGGCGATGGGCTTGGCCGAAGTTCAGTTTTTGCGCCCGGTCGTAGACTCCATTCATTACTCATTACTCATGCAGCAGAGGCTTCACCATCAGGTGAACAGCTTTGTTGCCAGCTGAATTGCGGTATGAGTCATGAGTCGTGTACGCATTGACATTCAAGACGATGTAGCGCGGATTGTGGGCTCGTGCTTGTGTTGCTTCGCAGAGCAAAGAAAGTACGCTGACCCGAGCACCGGGTTGTTCGTGCCAGGTACCACTCCACCATCATCGCCATCAACCTCACTACCAATGAACATGTGCTCCGGGAGCATGCTTTAGGTGGGTAGCACCAGTCTTACGCACTGACGCTAGCCGCCATGAAGGTACGAGACTACTACTTGTACAATGACAGGCTGGCACTCCAATCAATCTTTGCTTGCAACCGTTGCTTACGGATGTGGCCGCCACTTTAACCACTACTCGGAGAGTCTGATGCAACCTGAATGGGTGCGTTAGGACTAGCACCTGTTTGGAGAGAATTGAATCAAAGTTTGTTGGTAGTTCACTCGCTGAGCAAGGAAGGTTATGTCCAAGGGGAAGGCTCAAACATGTGAACATGACATGCCGATGGCTGTGATCAACATGTTTTTTTGTATGTTGACCCAGATTCTTCTTGAGTCCTCTTTCTTTAAGCATTGATCAAAACACGTCCGCCATGTCGGCCAACCACCCCCCCCGCCGGTCTTTAAGCTAGAGCGGCCTCACACCGCGCGGCTCCTCACAGGAACCCCTTCGATCAAACCTGCATGGAGAACTATCACCAAGTCTTCTGTGCCCCGTGCGCCGGCGGCCTTCGGTGTTTCATGAAGAAATTTGCACTGCCAATAGGGGCTCTTATGTGAGGGTTGGTCAGAAAGGTGATGCGCTTTTTGAGTCTTTTGGGCACGGGCAAGAATTCAGACCTTGTCCTTTGAAGAACTTAGTGTTGTGCCTCGTGAAAGTTGGCCTAGCAGTTCAAGCAAACATGTTTCTTTTGGGGTCCCAATCGGAGAGGGCTGGTGTCAGTGCCTGAAACTCGCAATGTATTGAGCATCCTAGGCCTTCCACCGCTTGGACTGCGACCTTTCTGCGGAAGACGCAGTTCCCTTTTCTTTAGCCATCTTTAAGTTCCAAGGCGTACGCCCTAGAGCTTTTGACGCGTAACCCCCGTTTAACGATTCCATATCGTCTGAGCAGGTTGCCCAAAGATGTTCAGGTCCGTTTTGCAGGTACCAAGCTGGTTTCTGATAAACATGTTACCGGACGCCCCGGGCAAGTTGGCCACACTGTTTCACTTTGAAGTGGACCAAAAAGGGGTTAAAGCGGCTTTGACACGTAATCGCAGTTTGGCTCACTCAACAAGGCGCTTGCAGGTTCAGTTCGGGCAAGCACACCAAAACGATAGGCTTTGCATACCACAGTGTAATCAGGACTTCATGCTGTTGCTGCTTCTTCCACCTGCCGGTTCTGGAATGACATTTTCATGACAACAACTTGTTTTCAGTTTTTGCTCTTTTCTGGTACCTTGAGCCCGTGGAAGCCTCAGACAGGGCAAAACATATGGTTGTGAAACAGGTTGTGACAGATGAGTTCGACATGCGGTGACATGGCTGCTTCTGGTCCTCGCCTTCAGGTACGGTCGACCCAGGCAAGATGATCACCCCTCCAGTACTGTTGAGCCGGTGTAGCCATGCGGCTGCCAAGGGCTTGCTTTTATTGGGGGGCATGCATCAAGCTTCGTCCAGGTGTCGCAGATTCAAGATTTATGAATTTGTATAACTCGGGCAGATGCATGGATCACGGAGCGACAAGCCTCCTTTTTTCCATTGTGTCTATGTCGGTAAAAAAAGCGCGGCATGGCAGATGATCTACGTCTCTGCTGGAAGGAGTCTCTTGAAGAGCTTGATTTTGTCGTGCTGCTCTTTTCAAGCAGTATGACAAACGAAGCGCAAAAGCTGGACAACACAACTCAGACAGAGCTAGAGCGAGCGAGGGAGACAGAGGGATAGAGGGATAGAGAGAGAGAGAGAGAGTGAGACCACAAATCTGATGCCGACTTGGTGACTTTGAAGCTCTCCGGCCGGATGGCTGCCGCTTATTGGGACATCCCATACGGCCCGGATGGCAGCGCTGCGCCAGAGAACACCCGGTACCTGCGCCTGCACCGACCACCGGACGGGGTCAAAGCGGCTCATGCGACGGTGGTAGTGCTGCACGGGGGCTACTGGAAGAATCAGCACCTCACTTGCAGAATGGGTCGTTTTGACCCAGTTTGGCTTCAAGGGAAGCCAAAAGGCAAGCCACCCTTCTTCTGGGCCCCTCTTTGACATACCCAAATCGACTGGATCAAGGTTAAGATTTCCCATCGGTGAGATTACAATGTCCTTAGTGAGGTATGGCATTGGAGACGCCTACGGCAATGCTGGCACTATCTCCATGGGCCCGTTCTTCCTCTCCAAAGGCGGGGCCTCTGGCTGTTTCATCCCAAGGGGGGGGGTATCTCCGGTCAAATGCCGGGGGTCCAATGATACAATAAAATACATGTGCATGTAAGAGGACTGGTATTTCATTGGGGGCCCCTTGCGAGATGTGGGGATATCTAGTTCAAATTATCCCGTGCTACGGCGGCAATTAGCAAACGTGGTTGCTTGTGAATTCAATTCCTAAACTAGGGAGCCACTAGAAATAGTATCGCGTTTCCATTGGGCTTTCTTTACTCCCAGCGCGTCGATTCCTCATTCTGATTCACCCAATTTGGTTGGCTATTTGGGAGGTTGCTGACCACTGAAACAAAGGGGTAATTACCCCCTCCCGAACCCGCAGTTTGCAGAATGAAGCAACGACATCTGCGATTCCTTGGGTCTTTGTTGAGGCACACGCCCTTTTCGGATGGCAAAGATTGCCATGTAGTCTCCAGTTGTCCAAAGTCGACCTTGTAGCAATCTTGTTTTCATTGGTTTTTCTTTCAAACATGGGTACCCGCACCCAAATGTTTATGGGTTTGTGATGTGAGGATTTGCGGTGGTGGAGCTGGAGTACCGTCGCAGGGATCATGAGGGAGGGGGCTGGCCGGGCACCAACCAGGACGGGGGACCCATGGGTAGCCTTCTTTCCACCAACAAATCGCATCTCTGGGAGGGGTAAGGCGTAGAGAAGGAAAGGAGGGGGGAAGGGGGGTCCCTGTTGGTGTTAGTGAGGGTAGAATGAAATTTGAAGCATCGCTGTTTTCATAGAACTGTTTCTAGGACACCCCAAACACACCACCACCGGCCCAAACACACCCTCCAAAATAGTCGATGTTAGCTTCCTTTCATAGACGCATCCCTAAAAGCTCGAACATGGATTCATTTACGGTTTCAGCCACTCTCCAGCGTAACAAGGTGTGTGGTTTGTTTGATACACACGAACCACACGTGTTTCCCCCTCAACATGTTCAAGCCACCAAAAATTCCCCCACGCCGCCTTTTGCAGCCAGGACGTTCTCGCGGCGCTCGGCCGGTTGCGGGGCCTGGCGGAAGAGGACAAGGGTGGTTCCCCGACTGTTCCCTGGGTTTTATGGAACCCTCAAGTCAGTGGTTTCCAATTTGAACGGATCTTCGCCGTGTAATAGCCCTGAAAAGGTGCCCACAAAGAAGCTACCCATGTGAATGTTTGGAGGCCCGGATTGGTTGGGCAGCCGGTATCCTATGTGTGTTTCCTCCAATTCCGTTGGATCCCTCCAGGTTGGTGTCCTTTGGGTCCCATGTTGCCAGCTTCCCTTGCGTCGGGCGTTTCAGGAACCAAGGTATGGGATCAAAGAAGCCGAGAAAGGTAGCGAAGCGCAAATACTATAAGGAACTTCATCTCCCGTCTGGCGACCTCAAGGGCCCAAAAAGGGTCCCTATGTTAACCCCCACATGCCATCTGAGCTTTCCTTGGGAGGAACCATACGCGGAGGCCGCAAAGGTTCTGAACCTCGAGAAGCTCATCCTGGTCGGCCACTCTGCAGGCCTTGACCTTGTCGAGTACAATCAACTCAAGAGCTTTGTGCATGGAGGTTGTTTTTGCACTTGGTCGAGGCTACGGGTACCTGTGGCTGTATTATATGAATATACCTAGGGCAATACTAGGGCACTACTAGGGAAGTACTAGGAAAATATTTATAGGTGAAATTCTAGGAGAATACTGAGAGAAAACTAGGGGTATACCAACAGAATACTTAAGGAATACCAGGGCAATACTCAAGGTATTCCCCTAGTAATTCCATCCCTTTACTAGGGGAAATAGCAAGGGAATACTATGGGGTAGTGAGGAATTACTAGGGGTATACCAAGAGACTACTAAATTAACTGAATACTAGTGCAATAATATGGGAATACTAGGGCAATCATAGGGCAGTACTAAGGAAATACTCAGGGAATACTAGGGCAATATTAAAGGTGAACACTAGGAGAATACTATGAAAATGCTGAGAGACTACTAGGGGTATACCAAGAGAATATTTAAGGAATACTAGGGCAATACTGAAGGCATTCCCCTAGTATTACCCTTGCCTTACTAGGAAATACTTGGGGGCACACCAAGAGAATACTAAAGGAATACCAGGGCAATACTAGGGAAATACTCAAGAAAGACTAGGGCAATATTAAAGGTGAACACAGGGAGAATACTAGGGGAATTCTGAGAGAATATTAGGGGTATACCAAGAGAATATTTAAGGAATACTAGGGCAATACTGAAGGTATTCCCCTAGTATTTCCCTTCCCTTACTAGGAAATACTCGGGGCATACCAAGAGAATACTAAAGGAAGACTAGGGCAATACTAGGGAAATACTCAAGGAAGACTGGGGGAATACTAAAGGAGCATACTAGGAGAATGCTAGGAGAATGCTGAGGAAATACGAGTATTTTCAGTTTTTTCAGTTTTCCTTGGCATCTGAGCAGAACCGAGCCCATATTTGAAGCTGTTTGGCTCCAGCGCTTCCGTACTCCTCTTCTGCCCTTTGTTCCGACCCTGTCCTAGCATGGCCAAGGAGCCTGAGGATATGACCTTTGATGACCTCAAGAACGCATGCGACGCTTTCGTTTTTTCTGAGTATTTTTCTTGTATTGCCCTGGTGACTTGTCCAGACAAATTGAGCCTCGTATTTCCTCAGCATTCTCCTAGCATTCTCCTAGTATGCTCCTTTAGTATTCCCCCAGTCTTCCTTGAGTATTTCCCTAGTATTGCCCTAGTCTTCCTTTAGTATTCTCTTGGTATGCCCCGAGTATTTCCTAGTAAGGGAAGGGAAATACTAGGGGAATACCTTCAGTATTGCCCTAGTATTCCTTAAATATTCTCTTGGTATACCCCTAATATTCTCTCAGAATTCCCCTAGTATTCTCCCTGTGTTCACCTTTAATATTGCCCTAGTCTTTCTTGAGTATTTCCCTAGTATTGCCCTGGTATTCCTTTAGTATTCTCTTGGTGTGCCCCCAAGTATTTCCTAGTAAGGCAAGGGTAATACTAGGGGAATGCCTTCAGTATTGCCCTAGTATTCCTTAAATATTCTCTTGGTATACCCCTAGTAGTCTCTCAGCATTTTCATAGTATTCTCCTAGTGTTCACCTTTAATATTGCCCTAGTATTCCCTGAGTATTTCCTTGGTACTGCGCTATGATTGCCCTAGTATTCCCATATTATTGCACTAGTATTCAGTTAATTTAGTAGTCTCTTGGTATACCCCTAGTAATTCCTCACTACCCCATAGTATTCCCTTGCTATTTCCCCTAGTAAAGGGATGGAATTACTAGGGGAATACCTTGAGTATTGCACTGGTATTCCTTAAGTATTCTGTTGGTATACCCCTAGTTTTCTCTCAGTATTCTCCTAGAATTTCACCTATAAATATTTTCCTAGTACTTCCCTAGTAGTGCCCTAGTATTGCCCTAGTCAGGAAGCCTGAGAGAAGTCAGACAGATTGAGCTTGAGAGTATACCCCTAGTATTCCCTCAGTACTCCGGCGTATTATCCCAGTATTCACTTTTAATATTGCCCTCGTATTCCCTGAGTATGTACCTAGTATTGCCCTAGTATTCCCCTAGTATTGCGCTAGTATTTCTTTAGTATCTCTTGGTATACCCCTAGCTAGTGTTCCCTAAGTATTTCACTAGTCAGGGAAGGGGAACATTAGGGGAATACCTTCAGTACTATCTAACTAACTAGGCAGCTAAATAGATAACTAACTGATTAGCCAATTAACTAGCTAACTAACTGGCTTCAGAGCTCATTCATTACAACTATTTAACTGGCTAATTAGCTGACTTGCTGACTGGTTTTTTGACTAACTCATTGAACTTGCCTTGACCTTGAAAAATATGCGTTTCGCAGAGGCGAAAATACACATGTGTCTCAAAAGTAGCATTTTTCCTAGTGATTTTGGCAATTGTCCAGGTTCAAAACCTGGGTTTTGGGGGGGGGGTTGCATATATATATATATATATATATCTATATATATATATATCTATATATATACCCTGCAAACGGCTGATTTGTAGTCGAAACTGTTTAAACACGGGAGCCGCATTGCCTTCTTACACTCAGCGCACCGAACCATACCAAACCCAAGTAACAGTCGCTGACCGAATCGCCGTGCAGCTGCTCCGGGTGCTGCATTTTGCAAGCACGATTTTGCAAAGGCGATCACCGCCTTCGTAACCCTCAGTCTTAATATGTTCTTCACACAAGTTGCGTACTCTGGCTCGATATCGTTGAAATCGTGGCAATTTGTGACGGTGTGGCTTCTGTGTTTGACTCGCTGTCAAGTGTGCATCCGTTTCGCTGAAGTGCTCGCGCAGCTCTAGCGTTCTGCTTTGCACACTGTGTTAAAGGCTGCGTTTTGTGCATGGCAAACTTGCATTTGCTTGCCTGGTCAGCTGTGCTTGCAGGCCACTCGTCATTTGGCTCAAGTTTGGGGAGGCTGTGTGTGTTTCTCCAAACGTTTCCTCCGTTTCTTTGACTGGAACCCCATGTTGTTTGGATTTTTCCCCCATGGCAGGAGGCTGCCTGGCGCTCTGGGCTGCGCATCACCTGCCGGCAGCGTGGTCGCAGGTGGCGGTGCTGGCAGCGGCGCCGGTGGCGGATTTGGTGCTGGGCCACGAGCTCAAGGTGTCGGACGAGGGCGACGCGGTGGAGCTGCGCCCAGCCCAGAGGGTTAGGTGGGCCAAGGGGGAAGCCCGCGTTGCTGACTTTAACCCGAAGCCGTCAAGATAGTTATGGACCCAAGCAAAATTCCGGTCTCCTCCAGAATCCAATGGCGGCCAGTTGGTTCAAAAGACCTTTTGGGGTTATTTTGGCGCCGTTTGCCAGCCATTGGCTGGTGCTGGCTTATGTGTTGCTTCTTTGGGTGGTACAACACATTTCGGCCATGTTAACACGAGTTTCCTGTTGGTGGGATGTTTGGAGGAAACTGATCACTCTGGTTGGACCCGGGAAGGTGGGAAGGGAATTACCCCGAACCACAACCATATCTGACAGGAGGTCCTCCAGAGAGGTAGCTGAGTGAACTTGCCTTTTGGGGTTTGGTGCTGCAAAAGTCAGCCTCAAACCAACCAAAGCAGAGGGTTGCCCCTTTTTGAGACCAGGCGTCAAAGAAGCTGGTTTGCCATTGTTAATGTTGGGATTTCTTTCCCATGGCCAGGCAGGCGGAGGGAGTTCCAGAAAGCAACCCTGGGTGTGTGTGTGTGTGTGTTTGTGTGTGGAATTCTGGCTGCTCGTGCTGGTACTGGTGCTGGTACTGGTGCTGGTGCTGGTGCTGGTGCTGGCGCTGGTGCTGGTGCTGGCGCCGGCGCTGCTGGTGATACTGGGGCTGGCGGTGATAATGATGGTGTCGGTGGTGATAATGATGGCCTCGGTGGTCATTATGATCGACAGGTTAAATTCAGAGCATGGCTGAATTTCATGTCGTGCTCAAGCTCTTATTCAAACGATCGAAACTGCATGCTGCACTCTGTCCAAAAACCGTGACGGAAGTGTGCGGGATGCCTTTTCAAGGTGGCGATCGTTTGGTTGCATATTTCACTGGCACACTCCAAGGTACATGAAGCAAGCTCCCACGTCCCCGGAAGCCTTGGCAGAGTACCGGAAGGCCGCGGTCGCCCAAGGCATTGAATTTGGTGCTTTGAATGGGGCTGCCCGCCCTTGGAATCTTGTCTGGGGAAGTCCAAAAACGGGTCAAGGGATGTCTTTGGTTGGATGTGCTTAAACGGAAACACCCTCAAATAACATGCGAAAAAGGATCCACATGCGTTTGATTGAGGATAACGGGCGGCCTACCCCAAAGCGGAGAAACATAAATTTTGTGTTTGGAGTGTTTTGGGCCAGCAGTGGCGTTTTGGTGAACATATCAAGCATCGCCATTTGAAGCGAGCCGCTCTTTGGTCGGGATCGTGTTTACCCGCTCCACGACAACAGTGGGAGGGGTACCTGGATCAATTTCCCTTGGAGGGGGCCATGGTGATTGGGAGGGAACACCAAGAAAAGGTTCCCCTTTTCCCCGTCACAAGCATCCTTTTTCTAGGGAGCCCCACAGGCGTCTCCTGCCGCGCTGCTCCCAGTGAGCTTCCCCCTCTTGGTGGCCTTTGGGGACGCGGACAAGGATGTGCCCCCGGACTTGGTCAGGCCTCTCATCAGAACGGTGGAGGTCCTACGTATTGCAAGTAAGTCACCTTTCCAAGATATCATGGAAGTAGACGGTTTAGGGGCTTCCGCAAAAGGGAAGTAGTTGAAACTCTGTCAACTTCCACTGTGTTTTTACCTGTCCAACTGTCAAGCTGTTGTCACCTTTTGCGGATCGCTTCCGCGTGGCCCGGATGCCGCTTTTGTAGCGCCGGCAAGGGACTCAATTCAAGCATCTGGTTTTGGACTAGGACGTCAATGTGGGCATGTGTCAAAGTTGGCTCAAAGTTGGCGGCAAGATGTTTGACAGAGGACATGGGGAGGACTCTGAAACTGCTTCGGGATCAAAGAACGACGCGTTCTTGAGGGCAAAACGTCATGTTTGTGGGAAATATGCAGACGGCTTTGGGCAGTTGCAAAGGGGTGACCCACATGAAGCGACTTGGAGGGACGGCCATGCCCCAGAAATTAATGTTTGCACAATCACCAGGTACCACTTTGCCACTCCCCAACTAGTTGCCGCCCCTTTTATGTGATGGAACGTTTGTCAGTGCCACTATACCAATTTCTACCTGCTTGTCTGACAACTCCGTTTTGCTTGTTTTGGTTCGCCCTCAAGCCGCAAAACCCTAAGTACTCCCCGTGGTTGTGGGAAAAGTGGGTTCTAGACAAACCATGTGTACTCCCAGTTATCACAAGATTTGCCGTGAGGTCCTACGCCAAAGCGGCGGCGTCCAGCGCCCCCAGCCTGGTGTCGGTCCTGGAGATCCCCGGCGCGGATCACTTCGACGTGGTGAACGCGGAGAGCGCGGCGTGGCTCGGGCACGTGGTGCCGGGCCTGGGAAAGCTGCTGGAGGCCGGCGAAATGGCAGACTTTTGGCCCCCGTTTAAAGGGGACAAGCAACAACCCCCCCCCCCCCCCGGCTTTAAAGGGGACAGGCAATATTTGAACCACCACTCTCTGGTTGATTTTGGTGTTCTTTAAGGACAAACCAACGAGGAGGTTGATTCGAACAATAGCGGCTTGAACATGTTTAAAGGGGAGGGCCCTGGCTGGAGGCCCATTGGGGACCAGACGCCGGCGCATTGCGGTAAAAGTGGCAGATTGAAGCAGGGTGCCCCATCGTTCCCCCTGTTGTTGGCGTAGAGCATCGCCGTTTGGAAAGGCCACACGATATTCGGGGATCGGAATCAGGAAGGCTTCCATGTGCGGCATTGAAGGTGCGCGTCCGGCCAAACCGCCTTGTCCAATGTGTCTTGCGGGTCAGTTTGCTGAGACGTTCATGGAATCGACTGGCGTCGGTCAGATTGTTTCGTATTTGCCTCTCTGGCATGGACCATTGCACTTGCCATTCTCGATGCTGGCTGTGGCGCAAGGGGACGGACAGACGCGCCGCGAGCAACTGTATATGACAATGATGTTTCTCACACTACGCCCCCAACCAAAGACATGCTTCCTTGTGGACTGCGGTCGAACACCCGTTAAAAGGGTATCCCTTATGTTGAGAAAAACTTGGATCAAGGGAGTGATGCGGCTGACTCGGCAGATGACCGACTTAAGCCTTTGAGGTTCAGTTTCATTCGGGCGGGACAATCAGGACTCGGCCTGATCAGCTCATGTGCAATGGGAAGTATCTCCTCGGCATGCGGACACGTCAAGATGAATGGGCAAAGCCGTCCCATTGGCCGCCTTGCCGCGCCACCCAGCCAGGGAGTGTCTTGGACAAGATTGGACCAGCAAGAGACGTTGCAGTTGTTATATCCGAAGCCAAAGGGTCCAACGGAAGCCTGTGTGGAGTCTTTCTACGTGCATTGTGGACGCATGCTTGGCCTGATGTTGCAGATGGTGTTGCACAACGAGTCACGCCCAACGATAGGACATGTCTAGTAGGGGTTCTTGAATGACAAATGCGAATGGCGCAGCTAAGCTGGGCAATTGATCTGTCTGCTTTGACCCAGCTTCAGGATTGGGTTCCGGCTGGTTGCGGACGAGCAACTCAACCCTGCATTGGTGAACAAGGCGATTCGATCCTCGCGCAGCTGGCAGGAGGCAGCAGCGGTGGGATGCGTTTCCTGTCAGCTGGGAACGCCTTTGAACAAGTTCTGCTGCTCGGCTGGGCATTTCGGTGGGATTCTTCGAGATGCTCCCAGTCCGAGCCCCAGGACAAGTAATTAATCATGAGTATTCAATCCCAACGGAGAACTTGGTTTGTGTTTGTATGCAACTCGATTGACACAGCACACCCCAAAAATTTACGAGTTCACTATTTTCGGACGCATCTTCCCGGTGCCTCACTTTCAGCCATGTTTTCAGCACTGGGATGGAACCGGATAGGGGCTCAAAGAAGCTCCGTTTGCGTGTGCAACCTCCCGTTTTGGACATTTTGTAGCTGTGGAGTGGAGGTGCCCTGTTGCTTCATGTTTCGCAGTTCGGTCGTGTTGCTTCTGGACTCCTTGGGTTGGGTCCACAGCGATCACCTTTTAAGTGGGAAATCATTGGGAGGGTGACACTTGCAGCGGTGTCACTGGCAGTCCGTTTTCTGAACCGAGAGAGATCACTTTGTTGTGGGCTGGTTTTGAAGGCCAGGCCACCGTAAAGGTTGTTCCCCATTCGGAGGGAACCCTCTCTTGGCCAGGTAGGAAGCCCAGCCCACCATAGAAAAAGGGTTGCCCATTTCAATAATTCAATCAAGTACACCACTTGAGGGCACTAGGTTGAGAGGCCCCGCCTCCATTTCTTCACCATTTTGGGGGGAAGCGCTCATGTTTGACACCAAGGTAGCAGTACTCTGATCACTTCCTTTGCCAAGGGCTCGGAATGGCTCCGAGCCCTGGGCCACTTGCGACTGATGCCACGACTTCGAATGTCCCCAGATGGGTTCTGCTATGCGGCGGCTCTGAACGCCTGCGACATGGCGGTGCAACTGGATTTCTTCTTTCGGGTGATGCAAGCATAATTGAAAGGGCGATCCGCCAATGACAGTTGCCCTGTGGTTTCTTTTGTGGGCCATTTGTGGAATGAGTTGCCTTGTGGTAGGATGATGTTCAAGAATACTGAGGCCCAGAAAGACTTGGATAACCACTCCACTTAGAAGTTGGGGGAATCACTTTGGTTGCTCAGTCCTTCAAATGGGAAAGAGGTCACTGGGTTTGCCCTCAAAGCGAGAGTTGTAAACTGCCGTTAGTTTCCATGAAACTGCCCGATAGATGAGGCACTTTGAGGCAACAGTAAGGTCGTGGCATTGTGTGTTTGTGTGTCAGGTTCTGTAGACTACCTGCCTTGCAATTCAGCAATGCATTTCAAATCCTTGTTTGAATACGCTGTTGCCTGGTACAGATCCGGAAAGAAAGTGTTTGGCAGAAGTGGTGAGTCCGTTGTGGATGTGTGTCAAGACAAGTCGAACCCCTTGCAGGATCTTGCTGGCCTGTTTCAAGAGAATCCAGCATGACACCATTCAAATGGGGTCTCAGATTTCGACACTGATAAAGATACAAGCACTTGTTATGACGTAAGTAGCTTGCATTATGCAGTATTCACTCATTATGCTGCAGCCTTTCCCTTCTACCAATTGGGTTCGTCTCTGACGAGTTTAGCTTCTACCAATGCACAATCCAAGGTCAGAGAAGGGACAAGTGGAAGTTGGTGGGCGGCCTTACTGCTGCAATGCGGGACCAGCGGTTGCAATCCAACGTCATCATCCACACCTGCAACCTGCGCGCGCTTCGGGCACGGGCCGGGGCTAGCCGGTGGTCGGCGGCGGTAGGAACGTTTCAGGACCTGGGAGCCGTGAACTTAGAGGCAGGGGTGGCATGTGCCACGGAGAATTCAGAGAAGAAATGGCGCAACTGCCCATACAGTGGATGGACGAGATCCGCTTTGCGCCTGTCTGTAGGTGGTTTATCCGAGTGTTCATAGTTTTGTTGTTTCCCACTGGTGCAGGTAAGTTTCCATCCACTGGATTGTTCACCTTGCTAGCAGGATTGTCTTGTTGATTCCCCCCTTGGAAGAATGCAGGGACCCTTTCGAAGTTTTATACACCACGGATCCCCCTTGCTTTTCAACCAAGGGGCTGAACAGGCAGCTACCCCTCTATGGTTAGTTGGGGGTCACGGCCAGGGCTGAACCAGGAAGTGGAATGTCAGCTCACCCAGCCCATTTTCCTGGCTGTCAAGTCACTGGGGGCAACTCTTGGGCACCAACTACTTGGCCAACTGGTCATTTGGAGAGGACCCTGAATTGGCTGATATTGTCAATTGTCTTCAAGTCTTCATGCCCCTGTTAGTGGCATCCCTTCAACAGCTGACATTGATACGTTTGGTTCAAACGGCAGCTGAACCCCGACAGGCCGACGTCATTCTTTGGAGCTCGCTCATAAGCTCGCTCTCCTGGAGAAGGGTGCCTCAACGTGCATTGCCTTTTGCGGGGGGTTGTCAACGTTAAGGGCCCTTGTTGGTATTCCCTTTTCAAAGGTGGCAGGCAGCACCAGGACCAGGGTCCAACAAGGGCCCATGTTTTTGATCCCTTGACATTGGAGTTCCTGTGTCGGTGGTTAGGAACTGCCGCATCAACCCTTTTAAGCTGACAGTTACAGTTCGTTGTGTGCTTGTACTTCCCAGAGGTTAACCTTTCAATTTCGGGCCCTTTGGAACCAAGGTGCTGGACACTCTTTCCGCCATGCAACTTGCCTCCTCCGCGGGTGACAAGCGTCTTGGACTGCCTACATAGAGCCAGCGCATCAAACTGGGACCCGGTTGGTTCATTGTGTGGCTACAATTTGAAGGCGCAGCTTCGAATTCGCTCCGCAATGTTACCAAGCTCTCAAACTGGACAGGTGCTGGAAACGCTCTTGCTGATGAACAAACAACTGTGCTTGCCAGGTCGGTGGGAATACTGGCTTTAGGCTCAAATAGAGCTGAGTTTAGGTTGCATTGGGGTTGATCCTCTAACCAAAACACAATTGAGTTGATAGAAAGTGGAAAAGCAAGATTATCCGAATGACTGAAGCGACAGTTTACACTTGCGGTGTGTGTCCCTTGAGAAAATTATATTGAAATCGCTACGCGATCCGCCGACGCCAGTGGGGTGCAAGGGATTTTAAGACCTGTTTCATTTTTTTCATGGAAGTGATGCTGGGGATGCTGGACATGCAAGGGATGCAACCACACAACGCACAGGAACTGACCCAATCTTCGCATCCAAAATTTCAAGACTTTTAGACACGCAAAATTGACCAAACACTGAAAATACCAGAGAGCAGCTGGCCGGCCGGGTTTTTTGATATTCCCCCAAAATCAACCATCAAAAGCAGATACTCTCAAATACCTTAAAAATAGACTCGCAGTAACTGCTCTGTACAGGTGGGGAATTGCAAAAAACACTCATTTTTGCAAATTCAAACAGTTCCTCAACGTATCACCGTATCACTGCACTTGGCCCCACCCAGACCCCTACTGTAACAGGCCAATTCCAACATCGCTTGGAACAGCAAAACATCATTTGTATCTGCAAAAAAAGAGAGACAAATTCATGGCAGAAAGATAATCCTGATGATGCCGGGGATGCAGATCCTGCGCGTCCGAGGGAATTCCCCTCCCCCTAGAGACCTAGGCGAAACGCATATTTTTAGCACGCAAGCCCCAAAAACACTGGCAAAATACAGGGTTTTGGACACCCAGCACACCATGCCCAAAAAATGACAGCCCCAAAAGCCTTCGGCTTTGATAAGAGATTCCGAAGGAAGACCAAGTGGACTGCCATCTACACGCTCGACTGGCGTCCGTCGGCGGATTTATATTTTGCACATTGGTTGCAGTGAATTGATGTATGTTCATGCATCATAAGTTACGAGTTATTGCAAGCGGTTGTTTCAGCCAAGGCATATAATAGTTGAGTTCACAGGCTGGAAGCAATTGGTTTCAACATTGAACAGGATGAGAGCATGAAGCAAGCCATTGGAGTGCGGCTTTAAAGGTGGGGGGTCATCAACGCCTTAGCGGGGATGCGTTTGTTTCCCAACTCCTGCTTTAAACCAAGAAAGATGCTGGAAAGGAAACCAGGGGACACTGGCCATCTGCGTGACTATGCGTAAGTCTACCTTTACAGGATGCAACTTATGATGCATTGCAAACAGGAGCAGTACTGAAATGCTGCCAGGATCGTTCATGTTGACAAACTAATTTGTTGAGGAGGTGCGAGAACAGCCTTGACCAGCACTGCGTGACAGTTTGTCAGCAATCTTTGGTAAGCATGAGGTAAACACGTTCGACGGCTTTCCATCAGTCCTCTGCGGACTGACCGCGCCGAGGATTTGCTACAACTCAGCGGTCGCCGCAAGTGCCTGGCAGTGGGCTGCACATCTTTCCTGCCAGCTGGCAGCGAATAGCGCGCCCAGAGTTCGGGATGATGGCTTTCAAGTTGTGGCAACAGGCTAAGGGATTCTGTTTCAGCGTGACGTTGTTTGACCGCTTGTTTGCAGTAAGGGTTGAACACTGCTGACTGCTTCAGGTAGCCTGGCTTCGCGCTGGCACGTGCTGCCAGACCTGACCACTTTCACCTATGCCATGAGCTCCTCGCAGAGTTGGCGTCGTACTCTTCGTTTGGCAGGCGCATCGGGCCATTGGGAGTTCACAGGAAAATGTTCTATGCTCTCCAGACGATCAACATGGGACCCCAACGAAACATCAGATACACAAGTCTGCCTTGTAGATGTTTTGGCTTGCATTCCACGCTAATTTGCGGGGAGCAAGTAGCGATTGATTTGACTCACATCACTGGCCCCGTCTTTTGGCTCAGACTCAGGTTGCTATTGATGCCAGCCGAGTTGCGACGTTGATTTGCCAAAGCCTTTTCTTTCAAGCAGAAGTCATATCAGCATAACTGGTGAGCGGCCTTGCTCAGCGGACCTGAGCAAAGAGTCTCCATGGCCCTTCAATCTTCAAACAATGAGTCCATGGGGCATGACAAATATATTCCTCAAGGCTGATTCCGAGAGCCGCATGGAATTGCCGGATCCGCTCTAGTGGCCAAAACATTTAAGTAAACAGAGTGGAGTGGCCTGCTTGTTTGCGTCGGGATCACAGACGGGATTTGCTGCCACATGTGCCAGCCTTGTGGCTTGAACAATCATGAGTTGGACTTGATCTGATTTGTGCATTCCATTGTTCGCTCACCATGCGGTGCTCACTACTAGCTGGCTGGGTTTTGATGGTACGTATTCAGATTGCTTCTGTGGATGCATTGATGCAAATTAGCATCACCGACCTTGGAACAACATTACTTGCCAACATTAGTTTTGCTCTGCTTGCCTTGTTCCCAGTACATCAGGAATGCCCACGTGTTTCTGCAATTCGATCTGTCTTCGCTTCTCAAATTTGGATACCAAAAGGAAGCCGCCATTTTGGGGCGTACCGTTCAGGTGAAACGTAGGAAACCAACCGGTTTCGTTAATTAAGTTTGCAGTCACATATTAGTAGGGCTGCTTACAATTCGGTGGAATTTCATGGCCCGCCTTCCATCTATGTTTCACCATGTCCTGGACACAAAGGGAATAGCGCAATCCGCTTTCACCCTGGGAAAAGGAAGCCAACCACTTGGAGAACCACCACTCGGAAAAACCATCACAACCATGGAAAACCATGGAAAACCATGGACTCACCACTTAGAACTTCAAGTGCGAGAAGGGAATCGCTTGCACCCCAGAAGCGGCCCGGCACGTCGCGGTGGAGCCGGACGCCTTCTGCTGTACCGCCGCCATCAGCGGAGCTGGCGCGGAGCGGAGCTGGCGGAGCGCGCTGAGCGCGCTGGAAGGAGTGCAGCCTGATGCAGTGTGCAGCTCGACTTGGGGATGCAGTTTTTTGGGGAGGTGGTCGTTTTGTTAGGGTAAGGGTACCCTTGGTAGGTTGGTTTAGAGAGAGAGAGTGAAAGGACAGTCACGATTATTTGGCTGGGTGGGTCAAATTCGATCTGCAAGATCCTTGTGCTGGCTGGATGGCAGTGGTTTTCATTGTTGTAGTGCGACTTTTTTGACATGTACCCATTTGGGTGGATCTTTAACCTCAGGCTTTTTGGGAAGAGTGCGGGAAGATGTGCATTTTTCCACAAGCGAGTGAAACTAGTTCGAAAAGGCTAGTAGCAACCAAGAAGAGGGAGCCTTGATGCATCCGCGCAGTTGCACACAGCAATCAACATGAACTAAATGGCTTCATGTCGACCTGGCAGAATAGGTGTTTCTTCATGAACCCGGAGTTGCATGTTGGTGCGTATACATATTATACATACGGATATAAGTAGTATGTAGAGCTCCTTAATTCAGCCAGCGCCAGCATCATGCGTCAAACCTCAAAGTTGCTTTAGCGCCACAGGCAGACGGAACCCGCAAAGACAGCCAGCATGAAGCTGATGCATCGCAGAGGAGCTTATGTCAGTAGTGAGGGAGGTGACATATTTGTTTGCGGAACAGGAAGAGAAACGGAAGCACGTGGCTGTATTTTGACTTCCGAAGTCCTTCCAGCTACGTAGCTCCACATTCCCGTTGCTTCCACCTTCAAAATCGCCGAAACGGAAGGTCCCATTGTGATGCGTCTTAACATCGGTGCTTCCAGAGGGCGCCCATATCGGCCGACATTCTAAGGGCCAGCTCCAATCACCGCAGAAATGGATCCTGGGAGCTGATCGGCTTTGAGCGGGCCCAGCTGGGGTTAGTTTAAGTGAAGCTATGAAGAAGCCCATCATTTTGGGAGTCCGAATCCTTTTGTTGACGCATATGCCTTGCTTTGTTCCGCCGGACCTTTTGGCAATGCTGGTGGGCGAATTCCACAACCTCAAGGGGGGGGGGGGGGGCAAACCACTTGCTAAAGGGCAGACGCAGCCTCACTAGTGATGAAGCTAGTCTCGCCGCCTGAGGGGAGCTAGGGGACTGACATTCTATTCAATTCATACACACTTCACTGCTCACTTTCATCATTATAGCTTCTGGTTTTCTGAAAGGTCAGAAAGCAGTCCGCACTAATCTTTTGAGTTCCGAAACATGCAGGTCAGTTGTTTTGTTGTAGACTTTGACTGAAAGAGGTGTCTTGCAGGTGCCTCTACTTACGACAAGGCAATTCAATTCCTAGGAGGTTCCAGGGTTGCAGGGAACCACAAGGGCCAACCCCCGCAAACGAGGTTGGAGTGGAGCCATCGCTGCTGGAAGCTGGAAGGAGGCCCTCATCGTAGCTGGCCGCTTGGACACCTGGGCACAAAGAGGTAGCGGAGTGACTCCTTTTAGCAGATGGGGTATGGATTTGCACTCGGAGTATATGGCCTACTGTACAGGGATGATCATCAGATCATCAACTGTTTTCTTAATTGACTCATCATATCCAGAGAGCCGCAACGGGAACCCCAACCTGGTGGAGGTCTAGAAAAAGTCTAGCGGCAACAGCCCCAGTCCAACGATCATTCCCCTCAATCTAAGAGGGTATGGGTGTATGTGATATGCTCGACGAGGCCAATGACGAGTTGGAATTTGTTGCTATGTTGATCAAACAGCGTAGTTGCTTCAGGGCCTTTACTGGGAGGGTGTGCTAATGGAAACGGAAGGCATGATCATGGCCTGTCGCCAACAAACATAGCTTTCACATTGGGATCACAACGGGTGGTACGCTTCGACCAAGCATGACCTTCACATGGTAGGTTTACAGCTGAACTTCTCTATTAACAATGATTGTCCTTGTCTTGCCTGTGCAAGCGTCGTTTAACACTTGGTTGTCGTCGAAAGCAAACGACAGAAACAAGAACAAGCGTGACCAAGACGCATCCCAACTGGTAGAAGTTCTGACCGTAGCATCTATCAGGACAAGCAGCCGTGCAAGATTTGCTGGGACCGTCCGGAAGGAACGCTCTGTTGCTGGAGCCTCAGTTGTTTCAAGCGCCGTCCAGATGCGTGGTGATAGAAATGGTGGTTTTAGGGCTGGTTTCTGTCATACCCAAGAGCCTCAGAGACTCCCAGTTTCAAGCCATAGGATGGAGCCGGGAGGCTCATGAAGGCCGTTTTGGAATGTTTTGCGCATCCCACCAAGCACGGACGCACCTGGTGATGGCTTTGAGGTCGGCCTTGGGACGTGGAACCCGTTGGAGACAGGTGATCGACAAGGCAGCAGTCCTCACAGGTGTGCGATTGGACACCCAGGCGTCCATGGCAGCCCCCTTTTTGCCAAGTTCGGGTCAGGTTCTCTTCAAACTCAGCCAACAAGCAAATGACACGCGACTTTCACCGGGTGACCTTACAAGTGAGGACAACATCGGGTTCAACTCCGTGATGGCAAGTCAAAGTCGATGGCAGAAGGCGCTGGATGCCATGAGTGGGCAAATCCAGCAAACGTGTCTGCCGGACATCATCGGCTACAACGCCCTGGTCACCTCCTGTGCACAGTCTGCTACATGGAGCTCCGCATACGATGCCCTGCCTAGCGGCACTGCTGTTCCGTTGTTCTGTTCTGTTTTTTGTTTTGTTTTTGGTGTGGGTTGTTTGCCGGGCTCGTTTTGTGCTTGTTTGTGTGTGTGTGGCTTCCCTTTTCGCTTCAATCAACCCCCGAAAGAAGGACGTCCTTTTCTGCCCATGGCCACTGGGCAAGTGAGGACGTGTTCCGCCGTGTTTTTACATGTGCCCTGCGACCAGATGTTGTCACACATGCTGCCTGCATGGGTGCCTGTGCCGTCGCCAGACTTTTGGCAGATTTTTTTGGTTAGTTAATTTCAGGATCAGCACCTGCAAAGAATTAAATGTTCTAGCTATTTGGCATGTCCACCTTGCGTCCATCAACAACTCGCTGTTGGGTTGCTTGAGTTTCGGGTTGCTACTTTCCAGCAAGAAGCATGTCGTCTTTGCATGTATGTCCCTTGAATGGGGCGCTTTGGTGGGTTTCGTCAAAATTTGTACACACTTCCTCCAACTAGCATAGCATGTGTGGGAGCGTACCTGGAGGAGAACCTTTGCCAGGTGCCAGGTGGTGTCTTTTATGGAGGGCACCCTTTGGTTTTTAAGGGAAGCCAAAAGGAATGCCGTTGCCATGGGAAATGGATCTCAATGCGACACTTCTCAGGTGCCGAAAACTCCTGGAGAGCCACTGTGAATCACCTCCAGCAGCTTCGGCAGCAAGGCATCCGCAGCAACCAGGCAGGGGTTCTGGGGGCTTCCTGGTCAGGTCCTGGTCATGGTCAGGACTATCAGTTAGTTTGAGCTTGGTTTGGGTGTCAGGACTATCACCCTCCCACCCCCCACTTGGTTTTGGCCCCCTTCCGTTCTTCTTTTTCTCAACCCCGGGCCCCAACTTTTGGAAGAGGGGTCCTTTTTCCCATAGCACTAGACGAGTAGGCAACCCCGAACTGTTTTATGTTTGCTGTTTTGACACCCGGATTTGAGGGACGCGCAAGTTATGTTGAACATACAAGGCCGAGCACCTCCTTTTGCTTGACCTGAGACATGACGCATTTTGTAGGAAGTAAACATTCGATTGGCTTCCCCCACCTTTGCAGTCCTTTTGGGTTGCAAGTTGAATGCATACACGTTGGTATGGTCATGGTAGGGCAAGCGTCAAGGGTCCCCATCATGTAAGGGCTTAGCCATGTACTAGAGTAGTACCTTCTCATATTCCCTTGGGGAAACATATATGATAGGGTGGCAGTTTCAGGCGCCCCTTTAGCTACCCTTATGGTCTAGCAATGATCGGCAGTCCAGGCCATTGCTTCGGAACCACAAAATGAACACGGAGCCCGTCATCGGGCATGGCAAAAATGCCCTAAGTCTCGCAAGTAAACCACAAACCATGGTTGAATTTACAGGGTGTCCCTTGTTCCCTTACAGTATTTCGGGTATATGGGTGTGGGTCAAAATGAAACCACCAGGGGACCGCAGGTTTTAGTCCTTGGTCCCATTTCTCAGGGTTTCATTTTGGGTACCTATGTTTGACCCAGCGCCATGTCGAGCATCCACCCCAAAAGCCGCGGCTCCGAGAGATCTGAGCCAGGTGGCGGCGGCGGCGGTGCTGAGCGCCATGGAGATCCACAGCTCCTGGCGCACAGCTCTCGGAGCGCTTGGAGCCAACGTGGAGCGGGAGGCCAGTCGTTGCCTCGGTGGCTTGTCTGTTTTTCAGTTGGTACTTGGTAGTACTTGGTACTCCCCGTGCTGGTTTAGAAAGGGAAGCTCAAAAGGAAAGCCGTAGCCAGTTTGGGGGTTCCGCAAGAAAGACACACCCGCTTGTTTCAGGAAACAGATGCAAAGCTGTTGAACAACTCATGATTGTTGAAAGATTAAGATGAGCAAGCGGTTTAAACAAGCTCAAATGCGTTTTTCTTCTGAAAAAGGAGACCCCTTTGATCAGGGGAACAGGGGGGCAGGTGTGGTTTGGGGTGGGGGTTGTCTCGAGGGGATCGCCAGGCTTGGAACACGGTGCTGAGCGGATGCGCCAAGAGCTCTTGGCACTCAGCCCTCACGGTGCTCGATGCTGGACGTGAGAATTTTCGCTTTGGGCGTGTCGTTTTTTGGGGTTGGCACCCCCTGGTTTGGTGGTTTTGAAGGGAAACTAACAAGAACGCCAAGGCTTTGTTTTGAGGGGAGGGGGGGACCTGAAGAAAAGACACGCTGCTGTTTGTAAAGGTTTGGTGATTTGCACGATCTTCCCTTTGTTTCTAAATGCTGATTTACAGGTTTGATTAAAGGACTTGGTTGGCTTAAAGTTTGCCCCCAATTCATGGATCCAGCTGTCCTTTATTTTGGGAAAGGAAGGATGCCTGGAAAGAATGCGGGTACTGCGAGATTCTGGGTGATGCTACTTTCAAAACGATCTAAAAACAATCCTTGCCGGCCTGACTGGGGGGGATCGCACATTTCCAATCGGGGAATATGCTCAATTGCCCGGACGATTTGATTTGCTTGCCACGTGAGGCTTTGGTGTGTCTTTTGCCGCGTTTGCACCCCTTGGTAGGTTGTTTTGAAGGGAGCATCAAGAAACTGCAAAACAAAAATGCGGGCTTCAACTATGTGCATTTGCCGACCTGGTCGCCACTTCCCAAAGGACCGTATGATCGTGGTGGGCACGTCCCCCGACAGCATCTCCTACTTCACCGCCCTGGGCGGGTGCCCGTCCTGGCGCTGGGAAAGCGCCTTGAGGCGCTTTCTGGAGCTGGTGGAAGCGCATGTGCCGGACGTCGTGACCTGTGCCTGGGAAGGCAACTAACTTGCTGGTTCGACGAATGACTTGGAATGACCCCGAGAAAAACCGCCCCGCTTTAAGGGAAACCCTAGGGTTCATTCCCAAAATCATTCCGTACTCAACACCAGCAAGAAACACAACACCAGACCCCTACCACATGGTTGAAGGTGCGAGCCCTTGAAGACGACTTTCCTTGCGAAGGACCTGTGTAGTTCCATTCTTATTTGTGAGAGGGCAAGTCTTCACTCTTCTTGGCATACGATTTGTTGTTTGTCATGTTTTTGGCTTAATTGGTGGGGCCGTCAAAAAACAAAGCGTGCTGAGACTACCGAGGGGGAAGTGAGGTGAGGTCTGGCATCTCTAGACAAATGTCTGAGCAAATTTTGGCGACCTCATCCCAGGATTGAAGACTCATTACAATCCTCCCAGAAACGTATGTGTGTTTTGTTGGGAGTTGGGAGAATGTTCACGCTGAAACTTTGCACTTTGTGGAAAGTTTTGTGGAAGCCAGGACATTGGATTTGGAAGTGAGAACCTGAAATCCCACAGTTCCAGATTTGGTCTGGATGGTAGTAGCGGACATTAAACACATAGCCTAAAACACTCTACCGTCTCTACCTTTTACTTACTACATGATGGTGGAAGATCAGATGTCAATGACACCACTGGTGCAAGAACACGCCAAAGCTCCAACACACACACAACAAATCCCCAAACCTCCCCAAGCCTCCCCAAACGCCAACCCCCCCCCCCCCCCAATACCCCGTTTGGGTTTGCAAGGCGGCTCCATGCTGCGGTTTCTCGAAGTTGGCGCCGACTGCTTCTCTGAGATCCAGATTCTTCATGACATCGACGAATGCGCCGTCCAGGGACTCAAAAAGGTCCGGGAGGTCGGCTGAGGGTTCGAATGGACTCCACAAGTCCAGAGCTTGCTGCATCTTGCTTGAACTAAGAGGCAGTTTTGAGAACCGCAGACGCTCTTAAGACTGGATGGGGGCTTTTTGTTTGGCGAAAAACGGAAGCAGGTTGCTGCATGTCCAGCCCCCATTGTTCACTGACATCCACTAGACTGAAAGTCAGGCTGGATGCAAGTTGTTCGCTTGCCGGCTTACATCCCTCCGCTGAGTTTTGTTTTTCCTGCATGGCGCGCTGCCTGGCAATGGTGCCATTGGCCAGGGCCGGAGGCCATTTGGGCGGCCGCAGGCCCCCCAACTTTGGTGCAGCTTTCGCCCCATGCAGCGGAAGCCAAGTTTTGTCGCGCATGAGAATCGCTGGCGGGATGCGGTGCATTCGAGTCAGAGGCTGCGCGATGCTGGCATGCAACCCGACGTTTTTGGAGAAACCACAAGCATGCGCTCCTTTACTCGCAGGCTACAGTGGCAGCATTCCCTTGCTTCGCTGGATACCATGAGGCTGGGCTTGAAGATAGATATCGTTTGCTGCGGGACGTTCTTAGGATGTTGCAAGAGACAGTGGAGGAACAGCTTACACATGCTGCAGTGGGCGGGCCGGCAGCACTTGCAGCTCAACACACCGGTGTTCGGGCACGCCACAGAAGCCTGCAAGCAAGCTTCTTTGTGGCGGCGAGCGAGCTACATACTGGAGGCAATGAAGAGCAAAAGCATAGTTCCAGATTCGCAAAGCTCCACCCGAGCTATGGCAGCTTGCGATCAGAAATGGCAGGTGAGCCTCACCATGATGAGCAACATGGCGGTGCTTTCTTTGGAGGTCGACCAGGTCACCTGCAATAGCGCTCTGAGTTCCTGCGCTCGAGTTGCTGCTTGGGCAACCACCGTCAGCATGATGCGCTTCGGCACGGACCAGGCCACCTTGTCAACATGCCGAGGTGCATGTGCCAAGGTGGCCAAGTGGGAGCTGCCTCTGGAACTCTTGGACGCGTCCTTGGGTTTGCGAGTGTGTCCGGATGTCATTGACTTTGGGGTGACGCTTTCTGCTTGTGAGAAGGCCGGGCATTGGCAAAGGAGTCTTGATCTTATCGGCAGTATCTCGAAGGATGCCCTGCAGCCGGACAGGGCATCCTTCCACTCATGCATGGGCTCCGCATCCTGGACGGTTTCCTTGCAGGAACTGGCAGTCATGGCCAGCGTGCTCACACCTACAGTCACCTCCTACAATATCGCAATCAGCACCTGCCGTGAGCACTGGGAGCGAGGCTTTTCACTTCTGCGCACTTGGAGACAAGGCATTGAGCCCGACGCCATCAGCTACAATTCGGCGATGGCTCAGGTAGCTAACTGGCAGCTACTCATGGCCATGCACTGCGAGATGCAAGATCCTAGACTCAGCTCAGTTGTGTGCTTGGCTTCATGAATGCAGAAACAATGTCCTTGGTATGATTATTTTCAGAGACATACATATTGCAGCACTAGGCAGAGACGTGTGCAAAACCGAGTGAAACCTGTTGGGCCACAATGCAAAAAAAACCGATGGCTACTTGTGTGCTCCCCGCATGTCCACTTTGCGCGGGCAGCTCCCAATTGCGAGTCACCCTTGTTACAAGGACATTGAACTGATGCCTCAATTGTTGAGTAGAGTCCGGTAGCTTGACAAGCCCTAGGAAGGTCCCTGGGAGCTCGTCCGCCTTTTCAACTGCAGGTCTGGGTGCAGTTTGGAGGCATGAGCAACCATTTCCACAATTCTGAGTCCAAGTCCAGATCCAATGCAATTCCAACAGGCATTCATGTACCGTATAGATCTAATTGTGCTGATATTGTCATGTTTATGATGGTTAATGTTCTGAGTTCGACACTTGATCAGGACGTTTGGGTTTTGGAGGTATGCGATGCTGATACATCATATAATTATATATATATATACACATACATACATACATACATATTATACATAAGTTTGTAATACGGTAAATACCCCTTACATCCTCCATACCTTAAACGCCCGTGCCTGAAAATGCCCAATTCGCTCCCAGGAAGGCGGCGGCGCGCCGGAGGAGGCCACTTGGTTGGCGCTGGCTGGAGGCTTCCGGAAGCAACGGCGGTGGCAGAAAGCGCTGGTACTGGGGAGGCGCTCCGCTCTCGGAAGCCAGTTGACCAAAGTGGCGTTTCTTTATCCGAAAGGAATCCGTTTGATAGAAGAGGGTCAGCTGAGAGGGCTGGTTGCACACCCCTAGCTTCCATTCAATGGGACACCAACAGGTTGCTTGAACATTGGTTACATGTTTGTACAAAGGCAAGCTTGTTTGGGGAGTACCCTTCCACCAGCAAACATGGATGTGCACCTTGCGTCCCTTCTGGAAGACCACTCTTCTCTGGAAAAGGAGGACCTATGGACCTCCATACACGAGCTCACCCACGAAGGTTCTTTACTAGGGTGTTCCCAGTTGTTGAGTTGAAGTGCTAGCTTAGATTCAGACAAAGATGAGATGAGGTGTTCAAAAGCTTCGGACCTTGCTTGGGATTCACATGGACACCGAAGGGCATCCACAGTTTTGAAACACGCACATAGGTTTGTCTCTAAAGGGGGGGGAACGGCTTCCCTTCGATTTAACTTTTGATAGTTCCCGCAATAAAGTACCGTGCAGAGAGAACACTGCAAACAAAAGCAAGTCACGCCCACCTTTATCCAGCTGCCTGGGTTCCTGCCGATGCCGCCCCTGAAGGCAACTGGGCCTACAGCCTGCCTCCGTGATGTATCATGCGGCTGTCACATCTAGCCCTTGGGCAGCAGCGACTGCTCTCAGTGACCTGACTGTCCAGTGGCAAGCCCTCTTGTCCTTGTTGGAAGGGACAAACAACTAGCTGTTCATTTTGTTGTGCAAGCAAAGCTGAAGACACACAATAAGTTGAGCTTCCATGTTTAGGCGGTTGGCTTGGTCGTTGATTTTCGGTTGACGTTTTTCTCGGACATCGCAAAAAGACGAGGTTTCCCTTGAACGTCAACCAGCACAACAAAGGCTTACACTTGAGATCGACCAGCCGCACAGGGGTATTTCTGTTCTCTATGACCCAAATTCTCCGGGCAGGCATGAAAGGGGCAACTGTCCATTCTTTCCACGAATCCAGAAGCTCACCAGTCGCCTAGCTGAAATAGCTTGTTGAAAAGAATGGGAAACCAACTGGTAGACAGCCAGGTGACCAACTAAAACGCAAGGTGACCAGCCCCTGGAAAGTAAGGTGACCGACTCTGTGTCATTGGCTCATCCTTTAACCTGGCGCAGCTCAGTGAATCTGTGGGGCCTTGGCGCCGCGCGCTCGCGCGCGACATCGCCAAGGCGAGGATAAAGAGGGCACTTCCTTTGCGGAAAAAAAGCTGGTCGAAACATAGCGACCACTTACCAAGGCGGTTTGCGACCTCTTTATTTCGGGTGAATCATGACCATTCATCCAGATGGAGCCTTAAACACTCCTTTGTTCTGATGAATCGAAGAGTGGTACCAAGCCTCAAGTGCTTGGTTCATTCATCTGGAAAAGGTGCTTGATATTCATCGCGACAGAGCACATATCTGGTGATACGTCCCTTTAGATGGGCATGCATCACACCACTCATTTCGCCTTTTGCAGGCGGATCAGCTGGAGGCCTTGACCTCAGATGTTGGCGCCTGGCGCACGGCAGTGGCCCTCTTCGCGAGTTCTTTTTGGCAAAGGTTGCCGCCAGCGTCAGTCCTTCCCGCTCTGCGCGCGGCAAGCCAGGACATCTTGGCCAACATGGGAGCATCAAACATGCTACCCTCCCCCTAGACTAGCATGGAAGCTCCCATGACACCTTTGGAAGACTTGGTTCCATTTACAGAGGCCTTCTGGGAGCTTTATATTAATCTGCGGGAGTGTACACAAATACCTTGGCTTTGAAAAAGAGGGTGGATGGGTTCCAATAGGCCGTCAAAGATGCATTCCTTTCAAGCTGCTCCTGATCATTCGCAACGGGGTTCCGGAGTCGAACCTTGATTCAAAACCCGTGGACCCCTGGAGGCGCCGTGGCCAGTGGCCTTGGCGATGTGCAGCCCCTTTCTGGTCGAGCAGAAAGCCTATGGGATCCTGTGTGACCTCAGTAGCCTTGCCCAGTGGCAGCCTGCTTTTTTTTGGGGGGGATGGGTTTCCCTTTAAAATCAAGCAAACCATAAAAGCCGACACCCCCCCCCCCAATGGAACTCCACTGGGCCGAGGTAGAGAAGGAAGCAGATGGCAAGAGGCATGGCAGGCCTTGCAAGACTTCCACTCCAGGTCTGGCCGGGTGGATGCCTTGCACTGCAGCAGCGTGATGCGGGCTTGCAGCCAATGGCCAGAGGCAGTGGCATTATTGAATCTTGCCCAAATCGACTTGGTTTGCTGGTTCTGATGCACTTTTAGTCATGGCTCGATTCAACAATCTTCGGGTCTGTTTGGGCAAGTGAGGAAGTCCAGTGCTGTGGTCAGTACACAGCTGGATGGAATCGCATGGAATTCGCTATTGGCCACCAGCAGCGCTGCCACGTCTTGGTCACTTGCCACAAGCCTTGGGCTGTGCATGGCTAGTTTTGGGCTCCAGAAGGACGTCGTCACCTGCAACACGCTGCTGGGGCTAAATGACCCATATGATTTGATTGATTTACCACCCTCCCCTCCCCCCGAAAGAAAGAAAACGGAAGCAGATAACAATATAGTAATAACGCAAGACAAGGGACAATACAAGAGGAGGGTATTTGTTTGTTTTGTGCAGACGCCCTCATCAGCCAGGTTGCTGGGGGCTTGTCAGCATTGGGACAGAGCTCTAACTGTGGTGTTCCAGATGCACGAGACCCGTGTGCCTGTGGAAGATGTCGCGTGCTTGACGGCCATCGATGCTTGCGCTCAGGCGGGGCAGGTGGCTGCAGGCAGGGTTGGGCAACATGTGTTCAATGAACCAGACCCTGGTCCCCTTTGAAGGAGAACCAGAGCAAGCCAATGGAAGGTTGTTTAAACAATCGGTGTTTGAGCATGCTTCAACCAGGGGTTGGCCCACCCTGGCTGCAGGCGAGCGCATTTTTGAAAGATTTGCTCCAGACATGTCTGCTCCCGTTCGGCTTTGGTCACTGGCGCAGCTCTCAGTGCTCACAAACGTGTCGGCCTACTTCAAGGATGCTTATATTTATCTCATGACGAAAGCCGCAAAGCCCTCTGAGCTGTCCAAGTTGTGGTGGGCGAGTTCCACCTTGGGCCTCCAGAATGTGGCCTTTAGCCGTCGTGTAGAGCAGCTGTCCTCATCCGCGCTCTCTAAGTTCCAACTTGAGGAATTGCTCGCAGTGTCCATGGGTGCTTGCACATCTGATGCAAGTACTGACTTCCTCCTTAGCTTGTCTGAGGAGTTGCAGTCACGCTTGCAGACTTTGAGTCCATCTTCTGAAGCAAAAACCCGTCGTGTGCTGCAAGACATCATGGGGGTGCTATGGGCAATCAATTTTGCAGCTGCTCTGAGCCCAAAGTTATTGAGATCAGCAGAGCAGGCGACCAAACGCCTCGCCACGTTCCTGGATTCAGTCTCTCAACCATCAACCGTGTCGATCCCATCGATGGGCACTGACGGCCCGGAGCTTTGCCTGGACTTGGCGGATCGCATGGTGATCACAAAGCCGCCGGGATGGGAAGTCTATGGGCAGTCCCAGCTCCAACTACTCTCATTCATCCAGGCGCAGCGTTGGCTCACTATTCCCACGGCCAATGACAACGGTTTGTCGTTGTCCAGATGATTGTTTGTGTAACATACGAGCACTTGCCTATTGAGTCAACAAAGGAACGACCCAAGGTTCTGCATGGATAGTATTCAATCGGCTGTGTTTGTTGTTTGAGGCTACCCTTTTGGCCTGCTTTAAAAGCAATTCAATCGGAACCCGCCAACTTGTGGGGCTCTATTTATTTGAAGAGTCATCCATTTTGCAACACACCAGTGGGGGGCACCGCATTTTTTTAGATCCCAAATGGGCAAATCCGGGAGGCGGTGATCGGCGCACGACCCATCCATCAGAACTTGGAGGACGCTTGCGGTTTTGTCCATCGCCTGGACATCCCGAGCTCAGGGCTCATTTTGTCAGCGAAGACACACGCGGCGCTGGCTCGCTTTGAGAGAGGTCGGGTGCTTGAGGGTCATTAGATGTCACTAGGTCACTCGGCATTTGGTGACAGGTCGGTTTTTGCCTGTTGGTTGAGGGTACCCTCTTTCCAGCAATGCAAGTGGACAGGGGGTCTTTCCAAGTTATCCTCCCACTGGGAGGGTCCTGGAAGACCATGTTCCTCCAAAGGGCCCCTCTGGTGAGCCAGAGGGAACCTTTTTGAGGGTTAGTTTGAAGGAAGACCACGCATTTTCGTGATTCCCCGTTTTGTCTCGCGCGCCAAAATTTATGGGGATTGTCCCTTTCAAATGGTTTACGGACATACATGGCCCCCCATCGTAAATCGTTCCCATGTCTTGCGCATTCTAAGACGTTGTCCACCAAACATGTATCAGATGAAGGGGCCCCAACTCAGGCAGACAGCAACATCAGCAGTTTGCTTAGTGCTCCCATCCTCCATTCCTTTCAGATCCCAAGGCGACCTTCTTTCTTTCCACATTTGCGCAGGCGGCCTACTACGACCTCCAGCTGCAACTGGTGTCCGGCTCGATTCTGCGGGATTACCTGGTCCTTTGCCACGGCTGCGTGTCGTTTCAGCGGCACAAGGTCTCTGCCAGGCTGAGCCTCATACAGAACACCACCCGCGCGGGAGGGCAAGGCGAGCGTTTCCGCCGGGGGAAGGATTGGGCTCAAGGCTTTGTGAGCCTACCACGATTGGACGGCTTCCAGTTAGGCTTCTGTTCATGTGAAGTAGTGCATCGTAAAGGGCTTCCCCCGAATAAATCTGGGGGTGGTTCAGTTGGTTCTTGGCACCTTGAGTTCCAAGTTGCGGCTTTTCCAGTTGGTTCCCACTCAACCACGAGGTACCATCTCCTAGTTCCGGAAGCCCTTTAAGAAGTTTGTGTTGAGAGGGTGCCCCTATGTTTGCAAACTCCATGATAGGTGGTTGGTTTGTTTGTTTTCTCGACACCTGCCGTTTCAAGCATATACCGCGCCAAAAGGTCAACGTGTCCCTGTATTGTACCTCTAGGTTGTACCCTGATTCAGAAGCGTACCCTTTGTGGGCTATATACCAGCTATACACAACTTGGAGCCATGAAACGTGCACCTGCAGGGGCGCATAGCTCGCGAAAAAGAGGATTTTGCCTTGGGTCGCACTCTCCGAACAAGATCCTGCGCCAATCGAGAGTTGGGATGGATAAAAGTGGATGAAGAATGGCAGCCGTGGATTTTGTCCATCAGTATTTTGCCAACAGAACGGCAAATTGGAGCGTTCAGTGGACTCAGTGTGCGGAGCTCGGCGAATGGCCGACGCAGGGCCTTCAGCTATTTGGTCATGGTGCCCACCCAAAAGTAGCCCATGGTTAGGATCAGCTCCCTTCGAAGCCAGGCAAGACTCAAGGATCACCTGAAGCAAAAGGACGCCAAGGAGTCGAAAACAAAGAGTTTGCCCAGAGCTTGGTTGGAGCCAAACAAATGGTACTTGAGGATTTAGAGCTCGGGGGCCCTGAGTTTGTCAGGCCGAGCCTCTCGCACTTTGCTGAAGCTTATGTCCTACCTGTCCCATGGCTCAGACTCCTTCAGCCTGCTGTTGGCCCGGATCCTGACAGGGCGCCGTCATCAGATCCGGAGCCACTTCGCCTTCCTGGGGCACCCCTCCTTGTGCGACAGCAGGCGCGAGACCAATCACCGGCTTGTCTGCAGCTTCGTTGGCTCAAGAGTTCCACTGGCTTTTGGGGCTTTGTTTTCCCCAGTTCTGAACTTTGGATCATCTTCTATGAAGCTTCAAGGCAGCACTTGCTGTTCATTGGGTCTGGGATCTCCGGTGAATGACCAGATTTGGCTTTTGGATCCCAGAATGACTCAGATTGGCTGAGTGATTTGATTGTGTTTAGCTAGGATTCTTGGGACATGCTGGGGCTCTTGGAGGTCCCAAGTGAGTGGATGGATCTTGTCTCAAAAGCTGCATGTATACGTCCATGCGTGAAGCCATCACCCTCTTGGGCGCAAAAAGTGGCTGGTTTCCTACAATTAAGCAACGCGTACTAGTTCAAGAACCCATGAACCAGGGGTTCAGACCGTGTCAATGTATGGAAGCATACATCCATCTATCCCCTGCCCCAATTTATGCATAGTTGGGTGGGGGGTTCCACCTTTGTTCAGGGGGGTCCTTCATATTATATATAATATATATATATATATAATATATATATAATATATATATATATATTTGCATGTATCGTATAGATTTCCCAGCATTTCCCTTGGTGGGCAAAGCTAACAGCTTTCAGATAGTTGGGATTTCCAGCCGTTCAGCGCAGGTATTCGGCTTCCGCGACCTTCGGTTCTGATCTCTCCCTGTGTGCACGCAACTTCATTCACCGCTTCCACCTTAGCTTCAAGGACGGCACGGGTTGGTTCTTGGTATCTTTACCATCGGGCACGACAAATTAATCACATTTGACATTGGCCAGTTTGAATGATACAAAGCAACCGACATGAAATAGTTACATTGCGCTCTCTACTACCCACATGGAGTTAGGCCGCAACCAATGCTGCAAAAGCCGTGATCAACGGATCTGGTTTCCATCCTGGAATTGCGACGCATAGTATCCGCGTGGTATCAAGGGAAACCTTGGATCATGTCTCAGTGCCGATTCTTTGCCAAGCTGATCGCTTGGGGTTTAACCACAATGTAGTCAAACAGAGCTCAAAGTCAGCAAAGCAAGTTGGCAAGTGCAAATCGACAATACAGACTCGCATGCACAATCAAACTATTGGCAAAAAGGAGAGAGCACTCCGAGTCCCTAGCCTGCAAACAACAAGCAATACCAGAATGAGCATGCTGGCATCACCAGCCAGCATCTCCAGCATTTACGAGCATTCGCCCAAGACATGCAGGTGATGCGGGTGCAGCCCCTGCATTTGCACTAGGCGCTCGCGACTAAAACCCGCCACACACTACTTGAACCTCAACCTTTGTCGACCTAAAGGTTGCTTTAGCATATTTCAATGTTAATTTAAAATATCAGTTCTAGTCAGATTATGTTCTGACTAATTCTTGTTTGAAAGTCAGTTAGAAACTCAGTCGAAGTTGATAAAGATATCGAGCAGGATTTCACAGGGAAAGAACTCAGAGGTCCAAAAAATGTGTGTTTGGTTTTACCTAGCCCCAGTATTACTGTTGGTCACAAAACACTGTAAAACGCAGTGTTGTGTAGCGGCGTTGTTCTAACTCTCCTAGCAATTTGACTAGAATTGAAATAGGATTTAAGAAGGACATACTTATTCCGAATCCCGCTGAACATCTATCTTAATTGAACTTTAGTTGGAAGTCTTTGCCAAATAGAAGTCACTCAGTCCATAGAATTTGACAAGAACATAGTCCAATCACAATTATATATATATGTATACACATATATATATATATATTTGAATTAGACATGTTAGATAAGACTTCAAGAGTTATTCTATTTCAGACTAGACATACAAACGATTTCCTTTCCAACAACAATTTCCTTGCACATGAATCATCTAACATGTTGACACGATTTACTCAAACAGAGTTCAACTCACAATTTGATTTTGTACTGGAGTCCGAAGTAGGATTTCCTGAGCAAATCCACTGTTTCTGCCCTGCCCAAAACCACAAACCAAAACACCTCGAGACAACCAAACAATCTTGAGAAACCACACAAGCATATTATTCTAAAACTCTTGGCACAGTGAGTGGCTACTGTACGTCTTGAACAACTGTCTGAGGAATGTGTTTCCAGTTTTTTGGTTTCGTTGTTTCGTTGTTTTTTGGTTTTCCTTCGTTGTTTGTTTGGTCTTTGGCTTTGGGCAGGGTTATCAATTATCCATTGGACAGACTGTCTGAGGATGTCGTTTAGTTTAAATTCTATAAACATTGTTTACTTTCTTGTTGGTTTCTTTTTGGTTTGTTTACTCCTTGAAACATTTGCCCTGAGTGCACGTTTGAGAATCTGCGCGCACTGGTAGCCCCCATTTTTCCAAGCTGGTTTGCAGACGGGACATGTTTTGCTTTGGTTTCTGAACCTCTCTCTGACCTGAAGGGGTACAGCATTTCGGGCGTTGCGCCGGTTCAAGACCCTCAGGACGCTGAGAGAAAGGACCACCACGTGGAGATGAGCATCCCAGAGGATCTTCTGGAGTGCCTGACTCGATTTGAAGCCACCCGCAGCGCCACGCGGCTCGAGGCCTACTTGGCAGGGCAAATGCCCCGTTGGGCGGATCAGCCCGCGCATGGCGAAAAAGGTTGCCGTTCGGCAGGTTGCGAAGAGCAACAAGAAATGTGCAGAAGTTCAGAATGTAGTGGCAACTGGAAACACATGTTGGCCGGGAAGGGTGTCAAGTTTTGATTAGCTAGTTTAGGGAGGCAAAGCGTTGATGGAATACATTTCACAGGTAAATCAGGGTGTGTATCGAGCTTTTTGAGCAGGGCTTAGCACTCACACCTTCATTTAATCAATGACATATGTATGCACTTTTTCAATTGTGGATGTTCAGGTTTCGAGCATATAGATCGTTTTGGTCGCAAACAACCAGTTCTTCATGGCCAATCCCTGCGCGCGTGGACCGTGAGGTGCCAGCCTTTGAGATCCAAGTTTTGAGTCTCGCCGGGTGTTGCCCCATGGCCCACCCAGGAAACGTATATGTTTCGGCAAAGAAGGGACAGACTTCGGCCGCTTTGGGTGCCCATGGAAATACATTCGCCAGTTCCTTTTACAAGCACACGGGTAGTCGTCAACAGAGCTGAAGTGGTGGTTGTCCTTTTCACGTTCCGTGAAGCAAACGTGAGAAGGATACCCTCAATACTCAAGCCCACATTTGACACGTTTGGTCTCATCTTTGTAGGGAAAGCATGGAACAAGAGCTTGGGTGTAGACACAAACTCTGATTCTTTGTGGGTTGTCCCGGAAAGACATGTCTGGACAGTATAGTGTACCCAAGACTTTTACTCCCAGGTCAGAAGCAAAGAGCGTGAGATCTCGTAGGGTACCCCGACAAAGAACGAGTTGGCCGAATATTGGTTCCTGTTGTCAGCCAACGTCAACACTCCTGGGCCATGCGTTTGGCTTTGTTCCGCACGGATCTTTCTATCTTGAATGCGCGACTCTCTGTTCCTGGATGGTTTTTAGCCCCGTTCTCAGCTCCCAGCAAATGGGAAGACTGCACCTGGTCCATTGGCCCCAAACAGTTCTCCCATTTCCAGTGGTGCATGGTCTGGTGCCTTGTGCTTTTCCTTGGAGAAAAGACCACAACATGCCGACTTTGGCTCAGAACTTTGACTGAACTCCTCGCACCGCCTCTAGAACAGCCATGAGCTCCTGGTCTCGGCTGCTCGTGGAATTCCCATCCTCTCGCCTCGACATCTACCGCTTTACTGGCCTGTTGCCACCCAGATTAGTTTTGAGGTGTGGCACAGTTTTCAGCCCTGTGATTCTTGTGCGGAGATCAACTTCTATTGGGCATGATGGCATTTCTTGCAGGTGTTGTGTGTGTGTGTGTGCGCGTGTTCTTGCATGGTTCCACACTTAAGCCGAACCACCAGGATTTTGCACTCTTTGGGAAGATCATATGAATGGACAACCAACATGTGGGATCCTTGTGGGCCCAAGTAGCCCACTCTGACTCAGTAGTTTTACCCAAAGGTCTCAACGCAGGCCTTCTTTCCCATGCACATCCCTTATTCTCAGCTTGGTTTGTATTTCATGGGAAAGTGGGACCTGTTTGCTTCTCTGGTTGCCGAGGCAGCGATCTTCCTGGCGAACCGCGGCCTTCCTCCTGGAAGCGGCTTCTGAGCGACTGCTTCAGACAGATGCCGTGGCATGGAATGCTGGCGTCAGCGCCTTGGAGTAAGAGGGCAACTAGACAGCTTTCCCATCTTGGCATTTGCTGTCATGGTATTGCCATCCACCCAGTGGGCAAGTGGATGATAAATGCGGTTGAAGGTGAACGCCCAGTTGCTGGCACTATGACCATTCCTAGAACGTACTTGGTGGGTTTAACCTCCGAGATTGGTCTGAGCAACATGGTCCAACCTCACCAAAATCGGTTTGCAACCGATTCCACCCATGAGGAAGGTTCTTTGTTGTTGGGGGTCTCTTAAAAAAGTTACTTGGTTTACCCAGACTGGTTGTCCAGTGGGTTCCATTCCATTGCTCCATACTAGCGGGCGAGCCAAAGCTTGCGATTCTTTTTAGCAAAGCACGGTGGAAGACTTGGGATAGGAACGATCAGACAAACGGCTTTGAATACCAAGTCTGCTCAAGCCATGTCCTTTCTCTTAGCAGCTAGGCAGCTGACACCACCACGGGTCTCTAATGCCAAAAGCGGCTTAGCTTGTTTCGGGAGTCAAGTCGACGTCTCCACCCCTCCCTGTTCGAGCCTAAGAGGATGATAGACATGAACGAAACACAAGCTAGATACATTCTGGAAAAATACTGGACATTAGGTAGGCGCGTGCTGGCCATTATACATATTAAATGTAACAGAACCCTGCCAGACATGTACACTGGAAAAGAGCTGGACATGTAACATACTTGAGCTGGGCATATGTGTGTCATGTCGGATTGGGGTGTGGGCGGTTTTGTCACCGCACAAGCAAGGAGATCAGTCGGTCAACAGAATGCCCTCAGAGCGTTTCAGTTGTGCAAATCCAACAATTTCATAGACGCTGACGGGCAGGTGTTGGAAGTCGACCTGGATTTTCCTGTCCACCCGTGAGTGGAAAGAGGGTAACTCATTGGCCTTTTGACCTCAGGTGCCATGAAAACTGCATCATGGCGGCGGTCGCTGGATCAGTTGAGATCTATGGAGGTGCGGGCGCTGGAGCCCACAGCCGTGACGCACAACATCTTGATGGCATGTACCTTAGGGCAGAGGTTACCAGATCTCCCTTTTGAAGGCTTTTCAAAGCGGAGTTTTCAGGTACCCTCCCACGGGTGATACGTTTCTGGCAGGAGCCTTAGCCTCGTAGCTGTTTGGGGACAACGACTCTGTAACTATGTCCAACTAAACAGTCCAGCAGAAAATGACTTCAGGGAGTCTAAGGTACCACGTGGCGCCAGTCCCTTGAACGCTTCCGGCAAGCGGGGGAGCTGGACATTTTTTCCTTTAGTGCTTGCATGGGCGCGTATCTGGATGGCGACTTGTGGCAGCACGCTCTTCAGACATTTTGGGATATCCGAGACCTTGGGGTACAACTGAATCCAGTGTTGCGCACATTGGCCTTGGGTTCCGACTGGACCTCTGCCCTGGTGCTCTTCGGGGACTTCCGAAGATCCGGGCTGGTGGACGGCAGCTTTATGTGCACCTCGATTCAGATTGAGCGGACCTGCGAAGAGGTGGTTCAGCGTTTGGTGCGGCGTTTGACATGGATTAAGAAGCCTAGAAACCATTCCTTACATTGACATCCAATGATCTAGCGGCATGTCATGGTGCCAAAGGGTGAAGCTTTTATGCTGAGCTCAGTAGGGAGAATGGTTGAACTCCCTCACCAGCTGTTCTCATTGGGATCCAAAGGCTGTAGGGGTTTCGGGGGAATCATTCCCAAGGAATGTAGTAAGAGGCAACCATGCACAAGAAGCCCTTCAACAAGGCAACAAGTGAGGATTTCATTCCCCAGCTAGTGGCTTGGCGTTTCAGTGAGGCAATGCGCTGATGAAGTGTTTTCCGTCCTGGCAGCTTCCTTTGCATCTCCTGGGAGACATGGGACAGATGCGAGTTGCCGCTGGCACCATTTCCTACAGCTCCTCGGTCTAGTTGGACATTTTGCTTTGGGGGCTAAATTGCCAAGTGTGGCGTCGATTCCTCTTCAGGAAATCACGAAGGTTTGTGTTGTCAAGCGTGATTTTGTTCAGACCCTCTTTAGACCCAGTTTGGCCACCCAAATGCCGGTGATTGCCCCAAAGTTGGCGCCTTCTTCACCTTGCTTCATTTGACCTATGCGCTTGGCGCAGCCAGGGCTTCAGGAATTGCGGCTTCTCCCGGGTCAACCAGTTTTCTTGCTTTGGGAACCTTAGTCTCACCTAGCCCCCGATGGCTTGGATTGGTTTGGATTTGTGGCCGCCTTTTTGGGCACTGTGGTGATAGTCATGGTCCCATTGCCTGAAATCGCTTGGGTATTTCTCGGTCCGGACAAGTCAGGCTCTGCCATTAGTATGTGTGACAAGTCTGCCAAGTGGCGCCACTCCCTTGCACTTCTATGTCGCAGCATGCCGAATGAGGTCACGTACGGTTCCGTTATATCTGCAGAAACCAAGGGAAGCCAATGGAAGTCATCCCTGTGCTTGCTTCACGACATGTTACCGCGGCGGATTTATCTTTCTCGCATTGGCTGCAATGCTGCCATAACATCATGCGAGAAGGGGGTCGCTGAAAGAGGCTCGTATGAGAAGGAGGCCACACCTTGGCCATTTGCTCTGTGCATCATGGATATGTTTGCAGACGGCCTGCAAGCAAACACTGTCACGCACAACGCAGCTATCAGCACCTGTGAAAAGACAGGACAGTGGTCCTTGGCAGGAGCAGCACTGGAGACCATGGCATTCAAGAGCATTCAGCGAGATACCATTAGCTTCAACGCGGCTGTGAGTGCCTGTGACGATGACGAAAGCCGCTGCTGGCACATTGCGTTGGCTCACCTCAGGCCAGGATCATGTAAAGGTGTTGATGCTCGAGCGACTTCTAGGTGACGTTGGCTGGCAGACCCCTCTCATGTACAGTACACCGTAGCTGTGTTTTTGCAGGGGCTGACCTGCCGGCTGTGGAAGCCGAACGGCTGCCAAAGCTTTCTTTTTTGGGCCAGGGGCTCCCTTTTGAGGTGCATCCATCCAGGAAGCAACAACAGTATTTGTTCGGTGTTGTGTCATGCGTAGAAATCATCAGTGTTCCCAAAAAGACGGGGCAAATAAACTCAATGTTGGTTTCCTGTTGGCCTCCCTCCAACGCCAAAAGAGATTCAACCCACTATGTTGGAGATGCCCAACTGGATGCTTGAAAGACGAGGACACGCTATAAGAAGGGTCCGCAGATTTGCACATTTGGGACCAGCCAAATTCATGCAAATCAGTAGGTATATGGATAAATGTTTTTGCCTGTTTGATTCCCGAGGAGCATGTGCCGACTTCGTGTTGACGGCACCACCGTCACCTTCAACGCTTCCATTTCGGCCTGTCGGGCGCGCTGGGCTGCGGTGGTGGACCTTTTTGCTAGCCTCGGCCGGCAAGTGGCGAAGGACGGATGAATTCGGAAGGCCACGTCCCCTTCAAAATGAGGTCAATTCAAAACCACCGTAGCATGTATTTATCGGTGAATACTGGTCGACGGTGCCAACCCATGCATACACCTTTGCTTGCTTTGTTGTGCCTAGTGTTATAGGATCTGAGGCTCCCAATGACCCCCGTTTTACATGGTATGTGTGTATGTGAGCTACGGGGGTCAGGGGAGGTAGGTGGGTCTGAGGAGGTTAGAGGTGGAGAGGGTTTGAATCCTGTTACAATGATTCCATTTAGTGTTTTTTCCAGTGAATACAATCAGTCGTGCTCTGGTGGATAGGAGTCAGCTACTTTTGGTCACTGTGCTTTTTGACCCTGTTTTTGTCGAAGCCTTTCCAGAACTTTTTACTTGGTATGCCTTGGTTTCCCGACAGCTTGACTTTGAGAGGGTTTCCACTGCCCCCAAACCACAGCCCCAAGGAAAAAGGGGAAGTATGCTATGTAAAGCACCTTGATAAGCATGACAGGGAAGTTATATACCCCTTTGGCCCCGTGGTAGCGGTTTCGGGGTATATGAAACTCTCTCCCTTGCACCAACATGAACCTGACAGAAGAACCTGGAAGACCATTTGCCTTCTAAAAGAGCCTCCTAACATGGCCAGCAACAACGTTGAGATTGTTTAAGGATTTGGACACCCCAAGCCCAAGCGGGCGAACAGGAAGCATCCTCCATATGACTTCCACACGCCCCCACACAATGGTTATGATACCCTTGTGTTTTTGGGGGTACTGAGTACGGGTTTGAGGGGTATGAGTCTGAGGTCTATAAGCTGTTTACATATGTTTTGGAAATAAGTTTCAAACAACTTCAGGAAGTTAGCCAGACCCCCCCACCCCCCACCAGGGCAGTCTGTTATGTCCTGGATATTTCCCTGAGCTTGTTGCGTAGCTTGTTCAGTCAACATCCTGTTGCTTTTCCTTTAAATGCTAGGATCGCAACAAATATTGCAACCAACCCTGGTGAAAGCTTTGCTTGTGTGTTTGTGTTTCTTGTTGTGTGTGTTTGTTTGGTTGGTTGGTTGTTTGTTTGGTTGTTTGTTTGTTAGTTTGTTTGTTGGTTGGTTGGTTTGTTTTGTTTGTTTGTTTGGTTGGTTGGTTGGTTGGTTTGTTGGTTTGTTGGCTTGTTGGTTTGTTGGTTTGTTTGTGCTTGTTTGCTTGTTGTTTGGTTGGTTGGTTGGTTGGTTGGTTGGTTGGTTGGTTGGTTGGTTGGTTGGTTGGTTGGTTGGTTGGTTGGTTGGTTGGTTGGTTGGTTGGTTGGTTGGTTGGTGGGTTGGTTTGTTGGTTTGTTGGTTTGTTGGCTTTGTTTGTTTCTTTGTTTGTTTCTTTGTTGTGTTTTTTGTTTCTTGTTGTTTTGTTTGTTTGTTCCTTGGATGCTGTGGATGGACATGAACCTGCACCACTTGGTAGATTGTTCATCAGCCCGTATTCAGATCAGGTATCATCAATCCGAACATCCCAACTGGCTCGGGGATGTTGCCACCGGCAGGACACCTGCAGTCTGCAGATTTTGATGGGCGCCTGTGAATTCCACTGCCCTTGGGCGGCCTGCTTGGACTTGCTCAGTGCCTCGCGAAGATGGGGCCGATCGCATGTTTGTGTTTTCTGTGTTGGCATTTTGCGGATCGCTGGAATGGGCCTCTCTGAAAAGAGCTGAACACCCTCGGTGAATGCTTTTGCAGGTAGGGAAAAAGAAGACCAATCACCTCGAGTTCCTAATTTGGAGCGACACCCATATAGGCCAGCATCACCATTGTTTTTGGTCGGGGGCAATTGCTGCGCTGGCGGTTTTGAGGACTAGGCGCAGTCATCCCAGACAGGTACTCCCGAGTAAGCCTACAGTTGGAATGCCAAGGCACCCAGGAAATTGGAGAGAACCAAATGCGTGACTCACAAATAGGGGGATACCTACTTGGGGGTACCAAAACATCTGCTTTTGTTGGTGGGCGTCCCTTTCGAATGGGATGGAGGTGTCCTGAGAGGGAGGGGCAATCTTGGAGGGTGGAATCCAAAAGGCAAGCAACCAGTGATGGGGGGTCCTCAGGTTCCAAAAGAAGGGCATCATTGTCGTGCGTTCTGCTTCATGTTTTGTTGCCCTTCTTTTTTTTGGGTCTGTGGGTTGGCCATTTAGCGTCATTTGTTCCCCGGAGATCGCACTTCTCTTGGGGGACTTCCCGTGCCAATGGAATCTCCGTGATATCAGGCAGTGAAGTAGCTGCAGGAATCAACCACCGTCGTATCACAGAGACGATCATGTTCACCAAATTGAGGCGAGGAGGACAGCAGCCCCGCCTGGGCATTCTTCGTGCACCGCTCTCTTCGCTCTGTTCCCATTGGCTTGGATTCGCTGCGGGACATGTGAGCAACGGACGGGGTTCGGGGGGGGTCCAATTCTGAGAACACCCACCCAATAGTCACCATGAGCCTATGCTTCATTTGAACAGACGAGAAGGGGGAACCACCCCAGATTCTGTATTTGAAGGAGGGGCACCATCCAACTGAACCATAAAGCCAGGCTTTGCGAGGATATGAGAGACCAACTTTCCTCAGTTGCTTCTGCCGCGCGCGGTGCTTTGGCGCTCTGAAGAGTGCTTACTGAGTCGCTGTGCGTCTTTTTCAGGGAAGCAGCTTTGCTCGTGAGTTCATTGGCGCTGGCAGGCGGAACAAACGTGCATGCAGAGGCAGCAGCATGTGCACACCTGTCCTGCTTCAATGATGTTTGCAACAATGATTGCCAAGCTGGATGGTTTTTCCTCTCCATTTAATGGTTTGGAGACATTACCATCGCGTTGGATCGTTGGGACAGAGCGTACGGTCAGCGTGTGCATTGTGTTTGCTTGCCATGCTCATGTTGGAAATCCCGCCCGCAGCTTATCTTTATGCACTGACAATCTCATGAGTGCAGGCAGCACAAACAGCTCCTAGCTTCCTGAGCAAAGAACAATGATAATAACACTATCAAGGTTGTTTAACACGGCCGCTTTCAGCGCCAGCAGACACACCGGCAGACAAGCCGGATCTGTGCGAACGCCCCAGATTGAGCCACAGAGAGCATCATGGGCAAAGATGGTTTATAGGTCTTGAACCATGGATCTGACCAATGTGTTTGGCTGTGTGCCTGGTTGGCTGGTTGCCAGGTTGGTTGGCTGTCTGGTTGGTTGCCTTGTTGGTTGGATGCCTTGCTGCTTGCTTGCCTTGTCGTTGTTTGGTTGTTTGGGTTTTCTCGATCGTCATGGAGGATTTCCGGGTGCTCTGGATGCGCACGAGACGAGCCGCACATGGGGTTGGTTTGTTGCCACTCGTTTTCAGCTCTCAGGATCGGGCGCATGGTGAAGCGATCGCATGCAAGGGCTTGGAGGCCGGCGGAGTAGCTCACTTTTCAGCGCGCCGCGAAAGTCTTCCTGTGACAAGTTGACCTGACCGGCAGACTCGCAAGTGCTTTTTTGTTGTATGACACGCACACAACGTAGTCTTGTCACCATGCACATGGGCCAAGGGAGGGGGTTTGTTCCGAGCCTTCCGGTACAGAATATATGGGTGCCGGCCGCGTTTGGGGACTTGCAAACAGCACATTGATCTCACATTGCAAGTTTCTACATTTCCCAAGCAGCAAGCACGTAGATTCGGTTGTTCAGTGGCACCATTTGACGTCCCGCTCGAAATACACCTACTTCCCTGGCACTGGGCAAGAACAAGCGCGCATTGGGGGGGTCTTTCAAGTAGTCAGATGGCCTTTGTGCTTTCGGCAGGTTGGGTGCTTCTGATCTTCGGACTTTGGCTGGTCTGCTGGAGCTGTCGAGAGAGACGATTTGCTTGACACGGTTGATCGCCAGAGATTCCTGGGATGCTGACGGGTGCCGTGTTGAAGCTGCCACGAGATGTCAAAAAGAGGCACGTAGTCACTAATATGGGTGTCTTTTCAAGAGGAACCCTTTGGTTGGTTTTAATGGGAACAGAAAGGAAATCCACAATTTTAGGCGGTCCCCCTATTTTATGACAAACGTTGCTGTGGCAACTTTGAATCGAAGGACTCCAGTCTTTTGGAACAGCACGTTCAACACGCTCACGGGTGAAGGGTGTCAACAATTAGCCCTGAACACGTGGAATATATGTGGTGTAGGAAATCAAGGGACGCTTGGAGATCTTCCTAGAATCAACACAAAAACAAGAGAAATCAAATATGGGGCCAATTTGACTCTGGATGAGCTTTGGGAAGCTTCAAACTGGTTGCTTTGATGTTGTCGGTCTTTTACAGTAGAAACATCAACCACTCAAACTAGTTCTCATGATTCTGATGCATTCCCATGCACATGACATGCGCATTTGATGAGTTTGCAGCATCAGTGGACCCTCTTCTAGCTTAGGACTGCCTGGGTACTGCAAAATATTAACATGCCAAACACAATTTTGCTGGGCTACTTAGACAAGAGCTGCTTGGCGTCCTCATCCCTGCCCCGGCTTTTGCAGGAGTGGCATCCTTTTCTTCGCCTGGGCACTTGCTGACCGGAGAAGCCGCAAGCCAAAAGCCAGCTGAGAGGCACAAAGCCCTTGGTCGAGCGAGCGATGCGCCCGCCGCGCTGGCCGAAATTCCGGCCGGGCCCAGCGACAAGAATGGCGCTCAAAATCCGGCTTGCGCGAACGACTACTCTCGTGAAGATTAGCATTGACCCGCCACCCGCTCCAGACACATTGTAGAGAAATCTCTTTTTGGAGAGTCGTTTTTGGGGTTCCATGGTAATTTGCAAGAGTGTAAGCGTTCCGTCTCGCTCATGGAACCTGTCCACAAAGATTTGTTTCCGGTTCCCGTTGCAACTGAGCAAACAGAGGCGTCGTCGTGTGACCACCATGCTTACAGCTAATTCTGTGCAACCAAAGATGATTTCTGAATGGATCTCAACCAGAAGGGATGCTGGTGGGTGGATGCCTTGAACAATCTGAAAAATCACCGGATTTTGTGCAGGATGGTAATTACTAGCAAAATGCAGAATCAATTCACGGTCAGGCCTTGACCTTCTCTAGCAAGAATAGGAGCGTGGTAGCCCCCACGTGATCCTGAGACCGAGGCCGGTGAATGTGGAGGACATGTTTGCTCGGCGTCTTCTGATGGTGTGCTTGCAAAGAAGAAGCCCATATGGGCCCAACCCATGTATTAGTATGTTGCAATCCTATTCTTTTCCTTCACCATTCCTCACCTTCCCTTTCATGTCAGGTATGCAATTACAATTCCCAACAAGATCCTGTGAAAGCTGCGCCATGTACACCTTGTATTCCTTTTTGGGGGGGCCTTTTCAGGCAATGTCAAGCTGACGTTTGGCCAGAACTTGCGCCAAAACCCGCAGTATTTTGGCCGCTAGAAGCTGCCATAGGCATGGATGGTCCGGCTCCCAGCTATAGGGGAACACCTGAGTCCTCGTTGCCATGGAACCCTCCAGGCCGTTTCAAAAGAAACTAGTCTTCCCGGAACGCTCAGAAGGGTCTGTTTGTTATGTTGGATGGAAACCAAAGGGCCAGCGCCCGGGTCTTTGTTTGGAGACAAACGCATGCTGCGGTAGCAAAGGAGATGACGTTGAGTACACTCACGAGATGTTCATTGAGAGATTGGCACCAACTCAATGTTAGACGACCGTGAACCTGGACCCGTGGCTCGAAGTTATAATCTTGGTAGTCATATTGTTACTTTGATTGAAATCAGGGGGCCGTTGTTCAGACAATATTGTCGGCCCAGCCTGAACCATTCAGTTTGTGGGTCGCATGAACAACCTGAGACGACATCAATTCGATTGGCTGAATCCCGTGCCACGCACTTTGCGTTGTGGGGATTCAAGGCGAGACAAAAGGTTCAAGTTGCTTTGGCATATTATGGGAGCCGCATGTTGGTATATCGAAATGGGATGAAAGTCATGATCATGGAATCTTGTGCTTTGGTGCCATTTGAGGGGCCTGCGTCCGAACCTCCTTGAAAAAGAAAAGGGATTGCCCTCTTTCCACAACCATGTGACTGCTTTGGACAAAGCCTGAGGCTTCCATGCTGGTGCCTGCGCGTGCAGGGCTTGAGGCAGGGTACCGGGTACCTTTTCTGAGTATCTGAAGGGTCGGTTCTGCACCGAAACGAGACATTGTCCTGAGTTCTTCACATGTGAGAGATCTTCCAGCCTCAGAGTGGACAATTGAGGACCCGGGACAGGCTTCTTGGACGTTGTCTTAGAAATAAGCAGTTGCAACCTTACTGATATGTGCTCTACGATGCCTAAAGATTGAGATACATATAGATATACATCTATATGTAAATAGACAGAGCTGGACCGATAGGTGGATATAGGTAGTTAGTTTTTAAAATGTATTGCTAGGGCACCTCAAGGGGTACGTGTTTGAGTCCGAGAGAGTGGCACTTCCCTGGCCAGGATGTCCAGAAACACCTATTTCCCGATCCTGCAAAGTCACTTCGAAATTATCAGACCATCCACATGAAACCAAGTAACTTGTGGAAGTTCAACATGAAACCATCCACTTGGGCCGAGGCTTGACATTTCCGTTTCAAGCCTACCGAGCTGGTGCCAGCAGTCTCTCAATTTTGTGTGAGCCTCCAAACGTTGCAACATGTCATAGTTGTATTGGAACCCACCTCTAAATTGCAAGCTTTGCCGGGGCAATATCGTGACCCTGGGTATCCCCTGCAATTCCATTTATACTGCATATTTCCGTGTCCCTTCTGAGGGGAGGACTAGAAAGGATGAGATCTTTCTTAAACACCTGTCATCCAGATTAAAAGTAACAACATCTTTTCCAGGAAAGCTGCTGGTTCAGTTGGAGTTACTTGGAGTTTTTGGAACACCCGTTTTGCACAAGGCGATGCCTGTTGGAGCCCACAGCGCAGCTGACTTGCCAGGGCCTCAGCTGAGTCAAGGGCTACTAGTCTACACCAACACCCACAGTATCCAGGCATCGCAAAACAAGCACCGCCAGCACAGCACCTTGCGCGCCCCAAGCAGCACCCTGACCGCAGCACCAAACTGACAAACTGGCTTGAACTGGCAAAACCAACTGCCCCTCCTCAGAGTAAGAACCCCTTAGAACTTTCAGCCGAGAGAACAGCGTTGAAGAACAGTGAAGGCAATCTCAAAGAAACAGGCTGCAAGCAGTTAGCTCAACCCTTTGAACACTGATTCAGAGCCATACGACCAGCCATGGAAAGGTCACAGTTTCACAAAACGGTACTTTTTGTCAAGGCTTCATTGTGGCAGTGGGCCTAGATACAGAGATGCGGTTCATGTTTGTTTGGTCACCAACCAATGGGACACGGGATGTTCTTGAAACCTTGCAATGTCGAGAAAAAAACGACACATCGTCAACCACTTTCAGCATTTGATCGTGACCACAGAACATAAGAACATGGAACTATTTCAACTGAGCCAAAACGTCGATGAGACTGCAACCCTGTTTTGGCCACCAGGGAGGAGACAGTCATTGTGGCACCCACCCACCTTGCTACCCCCCAACCTGCAGGTTCGCGCACGCACGCTCGCACGCACCTACGTGTGCACACGGGCACGCTCACGCGCACACATAGACACAGGTGTTTCTCAAAATGGTGGACCCCGCTTTATTTGGTAACTGAAAGGAAAGCAACAGGAAGCCAATCATTTTGGGAAACCTCTCTTTTGAGAAGGACCCATATGGAACCTGAAAAAGGGTCTCTGTTGAACTGGTTTTCGTTCATGTGTGTTGAGAGGCTAATAGCTCACTTCGGTTGGCCCTCTCCAGGGCCTGCAGAATACTTGGCTGTGCTTGCTAGGCGTTCAGCTGAAGGCAGGGATTGCCGTGCTTTGAGTTGGCTGTAGCCGTAGTGACTAGTAGTGCACTCTGCCGTAGTGCACTCTGCTGGGGTCAGCCCCCAGGGAGCGTACACCAAGTGGTCGCGGCAAATTGACCTTTTGGCGTTTCCCACATACGTACCGTTGTTACACAACAAAGGTCTTGATTCCTCCCTAATGGCAGATGGCAATTCTCCGCACTAGCTCCTCTGAATTGACAACAATATAATTTTAACATGTCATGCAAGTCTCAAAGGTGCAAATGTATGTATTGCGTAGTTTGTTGCCACTAACGCAGATACTTCGTACAGATCCGATCGCAGCTGTCGCGCAGAGAACCGCAGGCCAGTGAGGTGTCCATGGATCAGCTCAGCACTCAGTCCGGAGATATTGAGATTGTCAAGGTCACTGGCTGTCTGGCTGGCTGGCTGGCTGGCTGGCTGGCTTTGTGTCCACCTTGTCAGGCTTCTGTTTTTTTCTTGTTGGGCTCCTTTACATATTAGCATACAGCCTAGTGACTCTGGCATGCTCCAGCCAATTACAAAGCATACGAGACATGTGCCCAGTATCCTTGTCCGATTACTTGATTCCCCGAAGCATTGCAAGTGGGGGGAGAGGGACCCTTTTGTGATTGCGTTCTGTGTGTTCAGCACATGTAGAATATTTGAGGGAGCCACCAGTACACCCAGGATCGACGGGAGCAAGATGACCCTGCCTTATTTCCCACTAATTGAGACCCCAAACCCCACCCTTCACTAGCCCCAGCATCGCAGAAGATCCAAATCTGCATCATAGCTCAACTGAGGTCTTTGTTTTGTTTTTTTGCAAGATCACCCATGGAGTACCTTCACTTGGGGGTCCCTGGTTTTCATTTGCATGAGTCATCCGGGCTTTCAGCCAATCTAAAAATTCCCTCCATTAGCTATTAAAGTTATGGTCACCCTATTTGAAGAAGCTATCAGTTCGTTACATCCAATCTAAGTGTTTCGTTGCATCCAATCTATGTGTTTCGTTGCCAGCCGGCTGAAGCGCAAAGCGCAAAATCCCCAGGCCGCCCGCGCCATCGCCTTCAAAGCCATCGACGCCCTCCACGCCCGCCTGGCCGCACCACACTCGGCGGTTTGCGGTTCTGTACGTGTTGTATTCCCAAAAGGGGCGGTTCCCTAGCCTTTTGGCTTCCCGGCCAGAGTCGGGCTTCTCCAAAAGAAGACCCCCCCTGTCCACTTCCATGATTGTTGGAAAGAGGGTGGATGATCACACTGTCTTGAGTTGCCAAGCATTGGATAACTTGGAAGCTTTCTTCATGTGCCATCTTCCTTAGTTGTAAGATCCAGCGGGAACCCGTCAGGACAGCTTCTCACCGGGTTGAACTCCGCCAAGGTTGGCTTTAGGAGCCCAGTTCATTCACTCATCGGTAGCTCACAGCGTGGGGGAAATCCATTTTGGAGAGGGTCCGGATCACTTTAAAGGGATGTGTCCCTCCGATGCACCAGGTTCTGCTTACATATGCTTACATCCGGGGTCAACGTTATGGTCGAGGGCTTTCCCATGGACCACAAAGAAGGGGCAGATGGTTTGTTGTTTTCCCCCTTTGAACGGGAAAAACTTCGCGGATGTGAGTTTGCCTTTTGACTTGTGTCTTGTTTTTTCTCCGAACAAGACATCAACAGCACAATTGGTCAAGTGGCCAGTCTTGCTTGAATGAAAAACAAATCCTTGAGTGTCTTGGCACACTCCAAGTCACTTGCAATCTGTGTAGACCACAAGATCTTGGCACTGAATGGGCATGAAGGGGATGGGGAGCAAGCCTTTCGTCCTCCTTCCAAGGCAGAACAACATGAAACTAACATGTTGTTTAGACTTTAGACCAATGTCCCATGTCTCAAACATGTGCAACCTGGGCATCAATTTCTCGGGGTCCCTGACTTTGAGAAGCCCTCGGGATGTAAAAACTCAAATTCGGCAGAGTGGATTTCCAGGTGGGTTGTCCTCTAGCAGGATGAGTGGTCCTCCTCAATTTCCGAGGTTATGGCTGTTATTTGTATCTTTGCATGCTGGGCGGGTGTCTCGATTTGGGCGACTAAACTGGCTGTTTTTTCTTTTGGTTTCCCTTCTGATGCAACCCAAAGCGGGACTTCGCAACGACGCATTGGCTGGCTTCAGGCCGACCACAGCCCCGGTCGCGAGCGAGAAAGCGGATTGGTGTGTAGGCAGATCGCCTCGCACTTGCTCAATCTCCGATGGAAGTGGACCATTTGGGCCTTTCAAGAGGATTGTAGTCTTCCAAACCCTTCTGTCCATGCTTTCTCAACAAAAAGGGGGGCAGCACTCCAACAAGCAAACACGCAGAAGGGCAAGCAAACACGGTGCACATACGTAAGAACACAAGAGCAACCAAACCTCTGGTCACAAGGCAATGTCTGCAAGCAAACTGCTTCAGCACTCCGCGGAAAATTCTGAACCCGTCAAAAGGGTTCCAAAAGGTGATTCCTTTGCAAATGTGCGTTTTGACGGCTTCCGCGGAAATTTGTGGGAGGATATGTTGGTGCCACTCCCCCCCGCCCCAATTGGCTGGCTACATTTTTGGAGTTAACACAAAGAAGCCTAAACCCAGGGATTGCTCTTTAGGAGTGTACGTCTACCTCAGCGTGGATTTTCATGGGAAACAAATGCCTTGCGTTGCCTCGATGTGCCTTGCAAAATTGCTTGCTTGGATTTGCTTGCGTGTTTGCTTGCGTGTTTGCTTGCTTGCTTGCTTGCTTGCTTGCTTGCTTGCGTACATGACTGCTTGCCTGTGTCCCCTAGCTGCATGTTTGTTTTCTAGATTGATTTACTCCTTTCTTGATAGCTTGATCGAGCAGACGATTGATTTGTTCTTTGTTTGGTTGCTTGGTTGGTCGTTCAAAAACAGTCCCTCGCTGGGTCATTTCTTTGTGCTTCTCATGGGCTGTAGCAATCAGCTGCCTCGGTGTGCCGGAGGCACCGTGTACATCGTTTCGGATGACCCCGATGATCCGCTCTCCACGATCTGGCTGCGGGGCAAGCAGATGCAGGCACAATGGCGGCGAGCTTTCTGACCATGGACAGGGGCTCACTTTTTTGGCATACGACAAAAGGACTCAAACCCAGGGGTAGTTGATGATTTCGAATTGAGGATCCTTGAGTTCTGTGGGAGTGACAAGGAATTGGAACTCTGCCCAACTGGGTATGCGTGAAAACATCTGCGCCCGGTTGAAACTATCGTTGGGCAAACTCGACCCCCCCCAAAAAAATAATCTACAGTCGCGTTTTCCCTTCCCTGCAGAAGAGAGTAATTGAGCCCCCGCTAAAGGTAGGGGAATGTTGAAGCGAAGCGGGTCCTTTTTGACGCCAACCCCCTCCTTTTTGGGTGCCACCTGTGTCGCTTCGTTTCAGTTTTCTCAGCTTGGCGAAGCCTTCGGCCAGGTGTGCCGAAGATCTTTGTACATGTTCCCGCTGAGCAGCTGCATCAGAAGAAGAGCCCGGGGGCCCTAAGCCGCCTTTCGGCTTGGCGCTTGGCCTCCGGATGTTACTTGGGATACCCTTGGGCCAGGCTTGGGGGACATGAACCCCGAATGTAGAGGGTACCAAAGGATTCTCAATTTAGATTCATAGCCAACTGGGTCATGCAAGCGTGGAGGAGGTACTCGAGCGCTTGGTTGCTCATTTTGGCCGATGTTGGTGGAGTAAGTTTTCAGCCGTTTCGAAAGTGAAGAACACGTTTACAACAAAACAGCAAGAAGTGGAATCGTCTGCAGGAGGTCGAAGACCACCCGAAAAATGCCACCAGAGTTATGTTGCTTTGTTGAATCAGCACAGTGCATTTCACCTGCAGCTTGCCGATTTTTCGGAAGGGAGGAAGTTTACAACGACCACCGCCCTGTGTTTGGAATTGCCCTCGAGGTGATTGAGCTCGTGACATGGTTTGCTTTCGACAAGTGCCGACCTCAGCGCTGGGTATTGTGTCAAGGCTATGGACCCCTTTCGAGGCTGCTTTCAAAACGGGAGCCAACTTGGCACCAATCACGTGGAGGGGTCGATCCGGGTGTAGAAGCACAGCACGTGTCTTGCATCTTGCAGCAGCTTGGTTTGTGTCTATGGTTGTTGCCAGCCCTGCGAGGTTCATCCTGTTGCTCATTATCTTCAATTCACTCTGCCTAGCCTCATATGATCATCGTAGTGAAGATGATCGCGGTCTCGCGCTCAGAGAGCCGTGCAGCAGTTCAAGCAGTTAGAGAGTTGTGATATTTTACCTTGCAGGATGTTTTAAGGGGAAGGCCAACGAAGCGGAGCGCAAACAACGTAGCTCTCTTGCATAGGGGTCCTTTTAAATCCTCAACAAAGGTTCAAAAGTGAAACCCTAGTTCAAGCAGATGCGGGATGTCTAAAGTGAAGGCCCTCAAAGTGTGTGCTTGCAGGGGTCCGGACTTGTCGCTTGTCTTTGTTGCAGGCTTCAACTGGGTCTCGGACAACATCTTCGACCCCATACTCACAAGTCGCTCGGTTTGACTTGGACTGCTGGTGACTGGCTGCTGTGCTGGTTCGTCACAGCAAACTTTCACTTGAGCTTGTCCTTGGGTTCAGTTGGTGGACCCTGAGAAGCTAGACAGCCATAAGGATGTCTCAACAAATTGGCCCAACGACCAAGTTTGCTGTTGCTGAATGCTCACTTTCAGCGGTGCCCGCCGAGGTTTTTTCACTTTGGAGTTCATTTTGAAGGCGCGGGCGGGCCGTCGAGCCGTTGGTCGGGAACTCGAAAGGCTCTCGCCTTTAGCTTGAGCTCAGGTCATCGCGTTTGGGTTCGTCATGGATGAGACGTCCTACCTGCGAGATGCCCGTGACCCCTGAGTCTCACAGTCTTTGAGTGTCAGAGTCCGGGTATGGGTCAGGCAGTCCAGATTCGGTTCCCGACAATTCAATAGCAGCAACTGCTCAAACATATGGCCGTTCGGGGATGATGAAGGGCTCTCAATCGTGGAGGTCATGCCCGGCAATGCCACCTGCAAGTTTCTTGCAACCGTTTGTTTGAATGGACATGGGTGGTTTCCTTTTGGGCAGCCCTTTCAAGTGACCCACAAAGGGCTCTTTGGTGGGGCCTTCAGCTATTCTCTTTTTTTTGGGGCTGGTTGGGATTGTACGGGGGCGTTGCCCCAAACCACCAAACCTAGCCCAAAACTCGCGCAACCACATCCCTAAATCAACCCGAAAGCCACCGTTGAACCAGTCGCACGCCAAGGACAAATCAGCCCCAAACCAACCAAAGCCGACCCAAAGTCAACCTTAAACCCTCCCAACCGCATCCTGCATATCAGCCCTTTGCCGAGCCTAAGTGAGCCCCAAAAAAACCCAAGACCCGCCCTCATTAAGATCTCAGCAAGGCCAACACTCAACAAACCAGCCCCGAGCAACTCTGGACTGCCACCAAATCAAAACCAATAGGCAGCCCTAGTCCGAGCGAGGCGAGTATCGCTGCGGATGCGGCCGGTTAGCCCGAGCAACTCTCAACTAGGTTACCACTAAGTCACGCCCAATACGCAGCCCTGACGCCAAGCAACCGGGGATGCTGGGGATGCAGCCCACCAACCCGGCCCCAACCACCTATTTAGAGGGAGGCCTTTTGCTGAGCCGGGGCTAGTAAAAAGCAGGGGCTAGTAAAAGATAACACCTCAACCGGCACAATAGCCACACAGCAGCAATGTAAGTCGTAAAGTCCAAAAAGGTTTGCAAGTGGGTGTCCGCGAGACATGTTGAAAGTTATGTTTGCCCACTTTGCTGCTGGTTGCTCTGGTTTTTAAGAGGAACCCCTGGCCCCTGCTTGTTTTTTTTGATGGCAAGCCCAAATGAACCCAAAAAACATTGCAGGTCCATGTCATGAGACTTGTTCTCAGCTGCTGGCGCGGTTTCTGTAGGCTTGGAATTGGCTGGACTTCATAGTGGTCATCACCGGCAACCTTCAGATGACGAATGCCACTTGGCAGCAATTCTGGTTGGTTGTAGCGGGGGTTTCACCCCCAGAGTTGCTGGACTTTAAACTGCTGGGAAGACGATTTGAGTTGTCAACACGAAGTTTGGATGCTGTTTTGGCCAATCCACTCAGGCAATCAGGGGTTATAAACCCGCTAACTGGGGTTTGCCGAATACAACACCCCATACCCTTCCTCAGTGGCACCTTTGGGAGGGTACCTGGAAGATGAATTTCCTCTTGGATGGACCCCCGGTCAGGTTCCATGTTAGTGGGAAGGAGGGTATGGGGAACCGGACTTCCCTCCCCCACTTGCATGGTACGGTTGCGTACAGGGTAATTTGGTAATTTGTCACTGGGACTTAAACTGGGGGGCTTTCTTTATTAGATGCATGAACCAGCGTGTGCTATTCCTTTTGGGGAAAGTCACATGTGCCGCCCTTTCCTCAACTTGCAAGCAAGAGTCAATATGTGCTAGCCCCTGAGTTTTGAGCCTGGTTGTAAATCAGAGGTTTGCCCAGAAGAAATGAACCGCGGCTGAGGGGGGGGGGGGCACAGTTTGAATTAGTTAAAGTGAAACGGTAGAATGATTCATCTTAATTGACCGTCTTGAATGGTATGAAGTAGTTCATGCACCAAACTACCAGAAGTACGGGGGAAATCAGATGTGCATGTCAGTTGGGAACACAATAATTACACGTTGGTCCCTCTTGTGCAATCTGATGAAAACCCCAAGTTCGTCAGCCTGATTTATGTCTGTGGAGCGTCACACTCCAAAAAATGAGGGAAACCCTGTGCAACCCCCTCTCCCAGATTATTTGGCTGTATTGCTGCAAAGATTGCTCGTTTCGCATTCAGTGTCAGATTCCATGGTGACAACAAGTCTCTTTGATCTCTGAGCAGTACTTGGCGGCCTCGTAGAGTTTTAGGAGTGGGGAGGTGTGTCATGTTCGTTTGGTCTCAGACAAAGACAAAAAAAACACAATGGCAGGTGAGTTGCAAGCAGCGCCACAAACTTTTGTAGTCATGGCCGAACCACTCGGCATTTCGAGGGTTGCAAACACGGCGCCGAATTTGGAATTCGACCCTCCTGATCTTCTGTAGAGGTGGACCGCACATGCATGAAACTCCCTGTTCACCCCTTATGAAATGTCAGCCAAGGAAAACGCGAGCGATCCGCAATGATGTTCAAGGCAAAACCCAGCATATCCCCGGCCCCTGGCGTCGGTTCCCATTTCCGCAACTCATTTGCCAGGCCATCACCAGCACAGAAGGCGTCGGATTCCTGCGAATGTGCGGCACCCCGTGCCCTGTGGAATGGTCGACTCAGGTGGCTTTTGCCTGTGGGGTGGGTTTCCCAAGATGAAGGGTGGCTACCTGTAGAAAAACAAAGGTAAGGGGACGGAGTTTTTAGGAATGCTAGCCTGTTTTGCAGATGGTTTGTCGGTGCTGAATAGCCCAGAATTGATATGCCGGGAGAGTGCTGACATGGTCTAGTGCTGACCATCAATCGTGCATAGAAGGTCAGTTCAACATAGACGCGCATATCTCAGTGGGGTTGTGATCATTTACCAGCGCCATTTTTGTCTCCAAGAGACCTACTTGAAGTATTCAAGATCATACGAGCTGTCAGCCTAAGGTTCAGAATTTTGCGGCCGCTGCGCTCACTCAATGCCGTGCCTCAGATGAAGGCGGAGAGGGACACACGAGTATCAGTGGATGCAAATAGATTCAGTTGAGACTCCAAGTTGGGAGTGTTCGGCACCATAGAAACGGAGCGGAACCGTGTGGTTTGAACTGGTGAGCAGGTCAAGACCTTCATGTGTTCATTGTGTGTGTGTGCAGCACTTTTGATACTTTGTCCATCAAGGCGTCTACAAACAGGGTCAGCGTTCAGGAAAAGTTATGCTGAGTCCTTGTCAGTAGGTATAATATGTTTGAATATGACAACCAGTCCCACAACTCAGGGTCGTGAGGGGTTCGGTCAACCTATGTATCAAAGATATGCTTCAGCCCCTGATATCTCGCAGGACTCTTGTTGGCATCCATGTTTGACAGAGAAGGATGATCCTTTCCAATGTTTGAGCCGACATCCCGGGCTTCCTACTGCGTCTTCTTTCAGGGGACCCCTCGAAATGGCATCGTTTTTCTTTTTGGTGTTCCTTACGATAAACCTTTTGGCTGTAGTAAGACACGCCCACTGGGCGGCCTCTCTCACCGCTTCGCACCGCCAGCTCTTGGTGAACACCGTCTTGAGCTCGATTCCGAGACTCGGTCTGCGCCCCGGAACTGAGAGGAAAGGGCAATTGGCCGGCCTGGGACCCAGGGCGCTTGTATGATTTATACATAAATAATATATATATATATACTTAATACATGTATGATATATGCATATATATATATATATATATGGTACGCCCCCCCCCCCCCCCTGGTGCCTAGGTTTGCTTGATTTCAGTCATTTTTTTCAGGTAAGTTTGCATTTGTTTGGCCAAACTTGGGCACCAAGGAAGGGGTGTGTGCCACAATTCTACAATTAAGAATTCTGGACCCAAGATTGCTGGGAGACGTTCAATGTGACAATCTGGAATTCAAGATTCAATAGTTCAACACAATCTTTTCTGGAATTCTGGAATATTGAATATTGCATCCCATATTTATTTATTAAAAAAAGGAAAAACATCTAAAAAGATATGGGATTCAAGATTCAAGATTTCAAAATAATCTTTTTCTGGGAATCTTGTATCTTGAATCCAAGTTGTTGTTTTTGTTTAACATCTGGGATTCCAGATTCAATATTTCAGAATATTTTTCTGGGAATCTTGAATCTTGATTCCCAGATTGTTTAATGATTTTTAGAATTTCCAGGTTTGTCCCAATACTCTCGGTGTTCAACACGATTCTCGGAACAAACTTTCAGTGACATATTTCAATATCGAATCTTCACTCCAGTGGTAAAATACGTTCCAAGGTTTAGAACATCTTGATCTTTTTTGTAGAGTTTGACCAGGATGGATGATTCTCAGGAAAGTTGTTGTTTGTGCAATCCTCGATATTGAATCCTCAATCCAGTGGTAAAGCACTTTCAAGTGTGAGAATGTAGTTTGGGTTTGGCCAGGATTGACAATTCTCAGGAAAGTGTTCTGTGTAATCTTCAATATTGTTTTTTGTCCATCCAGTGGTAAAATACTTTCTAGCGATCCAGTGGAAACACTTTCAAGTTATTAGTCTATTAGTTAGACACACTTTCAAGTGCTTTTGGTGAGCGGTTTGCTTCATGTTAGCTGTGAAGCAGGTTGACCCTTTTCCAGGAGGTAAACAAAGGTAGGTGTAGTGCTCAAAAACACTGTATTTTACAGTATTCTATGAAGAGGCGCTGGATCATTAGGGGTACTATATATGTGTGTATGTAAGTGTATATATATATATACATGGATGCATGTATGTTCACACACCGTCACCCGCCCTCTTGAACTACCTCTCCGCATTTTCTCATTTACCACCTCCGCCTTTTGAGATAGAATGAATTTTGTTTTCCTGTGCAAATAGAACCTTAAATACTACTGATTCAGCTAGAATCCCTGTTTCGAAATAGTTTTAGAATTTGAACGAACACCGTCTAACAAGTTTAATTTCGGACCTTTCTTATGCTGCAAAAGGGCCAGAATATAAATAACACAAATCGTATTTCGAATTTCCTTGTAGAAGTCCCTTAAATGTTTAGCTATATAAAATATGAACTACATTTGAGAAGTAGTCTCTATTTAATTGTTATTATGAAAAGCTAATTGAGTTGTGTTCGTATTAGATTATATCTAACACCTGGAATATATTTGGGAATAAACTCCTAACTTATTTTGTTGAAGATTAGTTGGAGTTTGCCCGACACTATACTTATATTCTCATGTAGCTCCTATTTGGAAAGGATTTGCTTATATAAGCTGTAGTTGAGCAATGTTGAGCATAAACACATTTTTGAAAACTATATCCTAACCAATTTATATTCAAAATTCACAATTCTAGTTGAAGTTACATCCTATTTGGAAAGGGTATCATATTGGGACATTTCGGATCTTGCCATGATGGCCTGCAATCCCATTCGTCTGTGCTTAAAATCTATTGCACAAAATCTAAACTCTACAGCCTGCGCGCTGAAATCAAGCAAAACCTAGGCACCAGGGGGGGGCGTGGCATATATTAATATATATATATATATATATCCACACATACATATATATTTTGTTGTTTGTGATATATGCATATATGCATGCAGTGTTCTGTATTTATGTGTTCCCCAAAGCGTCAAACTTGAACAGCTGCCCTGCATCATCCAGAAGGAGCTTGGAGGCCCGGCTTGAACTTGAAGCCTGCAAGCTGGCATTTGTCCCACAAATATGGAATTCGTGGCGGGCGGGACTTGGGGATTCGATTCAAAGTTTAAAGTTCCCTATTTTGTCCCTGGTCTGCACCAGACTGAGTGAAAAATGGACCACCACACTCCGGTTCAGCTGGGGGCGTCTGGCATTTGTGGTTTCACCTGAGGCAATGTGAGCATCATGGCCGCCTTTCTCTTCTGCACCTTCGGAATTTTAGGCGCCGAGAAAATCGCTCGATCTGGGTCGAAGTTCTAATCATTGTGCCCCTTGGTGAGTTGGTCTGTGTCAAGTTTACAAATAAGCCAGCGTTTGCTCCAATGTCAGGCTTTTGCATTTGATGGATCCACAGTTTTGACAGCCATTTGGGCCCCTGTTCTGAGCGAACGCTGACAAATGCCACAACTGGTGGCTTGGAAATTCGACAAAACTCATCAACACCCTAGCCGGTGGTAAAGCCGTCAATTTTCTTGGAACCCTGTGTCCCCTCTTTGTTTCCTGATTTGGTACGAGCCGATCATTCGAGCCGTTTGACGTGGGCTCCAAGTCATGTTCCACGCACATGACTTCATCAAACGGAAATATGGGTTTGTCTCCAAATAGGGTACCCGCAAAATCAACACACCGTGTGTCAAGACCTTCCCGACAAAAGACAGCCTACGAGCGGGGCTTCCTAGTGTCATCAGCATGCAAGCTCTCTCACACCCTGCATCGAGCCAGGTCCCCTTAACGTTGTCCAGCATGCCTTCCAAGGATCACGGGAAACAACTGGACCCTCAAGTTGCAAGATTCTCCAAATTGCCTGAATGCATGTGGGATCATGTTGCTTTCTCAAGCATGGCTTCTCGCAGACGCAACGTACGCCAGATTCGACATGGGAATGGACAGCACAAGGGGATGACTCTTGCTGTTTTCCTTTGGACCCATGTTAGTACCAGTCACTGATGAGCGCCCAAAATATTCCCTCAGTGGCGATCTGAGGATGGTTGGACCTTACTCTTGAAAACTATTTTGGGATTCCTCAGAACCTGGTACTCGTAACATGGCTAGTCTTTGGTGTGACCGGATGGGCTTGGAGAGATGTGGAAACAACTGGCTTTTCAATTAAAGCTACAAAGGTTAGACCTTTTGCTCAGGGAGGAGCAACCGGTGCCATTTTCTTTTTCCAAGGACACCCGGCAACACTGGCGTTTTGATTTGGCAAGCGACCGCCTGCAATGCTCCACTCGCAAAAGGGTCGTTTCGCCAGGCCATCTCAATGGCAAACATCGTGTTTAACCAAACAGCAGCAAAAAGTACCCTCCGGGAAGCCACAGGTGAATCATAGTTGTTGAAGTCAAGTCTCCTGCTCCTCATTTCTAACTGAACCGTCCGAATCTGACCTTCGGGTTCCCAGCTTGGTCCACAAGCCATGGCCACCCTTGTGTGTCTAGGTAAGTACTTCGGTTTCCTTTGGTTGCAAGTGAGTGAATCGTCCTTGTCTCCTACACTTCAGAGTTGATGGTCATGTTTTGTAGTTGGAGTATGGTTGAATAACCTCCCATTGCAACCATCACAGGGCCCTTCTGCGAAGATGGTTGTGGGGGTGACCCAACCAATATTTATATATATATACATACCTGTTCCGGCTACTGAGAAGAGTGTGACTGTGATGTCCGTTGGGGCCCCGCTTCTTGGCAAGACCCAAGCTTCGCACGCCAGGAATCTCCTTGTTTGGCGGCGTCTTCTATCGAAGCCTGCCCCCGGATGGGCGGATCCAAAGGAGTTGGAATTTGGGAGACCATTCGGTCGGGAACCTCGTTTTGGCAAGCATGCTTGAAGCCCTTTAAACAATAGCCGTAACGCCATTTATTTGGAAGAGACCTTCCCTGCTTTGACACACACATCCATGTTCCTCGGCAAACAAACATGCGTTTGTTGCAGCATGAATCTACAGAACCCCCAGCACAACCACGATGCATTAAGAAGGCTTTCGAGTCAAGTTACTCTTGGGAGATGCCTGTCAAAATCACAGTCTTGCAGATCCTCTTTGCCTGGCTTCTTGGTGTTGTCTTTGGGTGCATTCCGAATTTGGGATGGCACCCTTGGTCCCAATTTCATTGTACTCGTTGAATCCATCGGTCAAAGGCATTCGCTTGGAGACAGCACATGGGCAAAGAGGGTCGTAAAAAAAGGGGGCCCTAAAGGGTGGCGTTCCCTGTGGTTTCCGAGAAACAAACGTGCTCATGTGGCTCACAGTGCCCCGGGAAACAGCGCGGCAACTTGAGGCAATCGCTTGCTCTGGCGCTGGCGCTTGCTGCTGACCAACACCCTTTTGGGACCATTTTGGTTTCTTATTTGTTCGCAATCATTTGGCTGGCCAAGCCTTTTGGGGGAACCTCTCAGGTTTGCTTGTTTCGCCACAGATTGGCAAGCGGAAAAAGACCAAACGGGGGGTTCCAAGCACCAGCCAGCAATTGTGGGATTGCACAAACGCAATTGAGGGACTGCTCCCTCAGCGCGAGAATCCTTTGGAGGAGGCCCCCTTCTTGGTTGAGCCTAAAATGGGTTCTAACACACGTGCTCTTGGAAGCCAAACTGGTTGCCCTTGGCAGGAGTCGAAACCCGTTTGTGACCTTTGGGTGATGCCAGGTTGCCGAACCAGTGCTCAGCCGCTGCTCCTGGGGAGCAATGGCACTGAGCCCATTTCTCGGATTTGACACGAGAGAACGCCATGGGAGCCGGGCGCAAGGACGCTGGTTTCGAAGGGAGCGCAGTTGCTTTGTTTGTCTTCTTTTGGGGGTGGGGGGGGGGGACCATTCTGTTGGTTGATTTTGGGGTAAAGCCAACAGGAATGCGCTACCATTTTGGTGGGTTTCATACACAAATATGTGAAATATGTGGGGTCCGGTAAGTGTGTTTGATATGAGCGACTTAAGTATTATTAAAATCCTGACATGCCATATAAGCCAAACAAACACACCACACACACACAGCTGTAGACAAATGGCCGGTGGCTTTTGGTTCTCGGAGGGACACAGGGACTCGCTTGCTGAGACCAGGGGTTCAATTTGGGCCGGCAGTATATTGACATGATCACGGGGTTCATTTGGGAATCTGCCAGTACATTTGATCGGAAAGGAAACCACAGAGCCCTCGCCTGTTGGATTGAGTGCACAGCTCGCTTCGGCCTTTTTCGCCAGCGGGGAATGTGTCACAGTCAGAGATTCTCAACATAGGTTAGTTGGGGTCCTGAGCCCAGGATGTGCAAGCCATTGGCAGCTCCTTTAAAGCTTGTGGGGGAAACACACTGCAGATTCTTGATCCGTACTGCACCCCTCCACTCGCATGAGGGCAAGAATATGGGCCGAAATGAGACCTAAGACCCAAAGAGGCTAAACAACAGATGACCAAACGGGTCTGTTTTTTAGGTATCATATGGGTACCCGTGTTTGGTGGGTTTTAAATGGAAACCAAACGGACACCCGCCCATTTTGGGGGGGTGCGCTAAGACAGAGCCAAATGCCTCGGTTGAGGTGCTGGTCGTGGCCGCGCACGGCGGATGAGCAGCTCTGCGGGGGCCGTTTTTTGTGCGAGGCGACTTGGTGGCGGGTGGGCCAATGGAGGCCCTTGTTCGATTTTTTGGATTGGTTTCATGTTTAGTCAGACATACCTGGACCTTCCTGCATGCTCAAAATTTCTACCTTTGCGCTACGAATTGCTTTTTGGTGCAATTGCCTACGGCCTTTCTTTGCTCAATTTGGGTGTTAAGCGCAATCTCCCCGAATCTACAGGCGAATTCCCGACCAACAGGCGAAATTTCCCGACCAACAGGCGAACATTCCCGACCGCGGCGCGAACAAATATGACCGCCGGTGTGTTTTCGCCCTAAAAGCATTTGTTCACACCAAAGGCAACAAAAAAACACGTGTTTTTTGGCCAACGCCTAAAATTTTGGACCTCCGCAAGGTCCAGGTATATTGTATATACATGGATATACATCGGAATTAGGGATTCCATCAATTCAGGAGAGACAAGATCGATTGTTGGTCGGGGTCGAGAGCCTTTGCTTTCCTCACAGAAGTCGAGCGACCGTCGGCCGATTCCGGTCATTGAAAGCGGGGGGGGGGGGGGGGGGGGCGGCATGCCTAAGCGGAATAGAAGCGGGCACCCTTGTTCTCATTTCGGGCACCTTGTTGTCCTGTCAAAACTGACCGAAAAACGTCTCAAGACGGGAGATTTGGCTTGTGACGCTCCTTTTTGGTTGCACTTGGCTGAAGGTAGACGCTGCAACTACTTCCCTCATTTGATCATCCCCTTCCCACAACGGACTTGGGTGACAAAGGGACCAAAATGTCGAAGGCTTGGGGAGCTGTGTGGGGTCAAAGGCAACGGAGGCAGCAGGTAACATGGCCCTCGGTGTGGGTGGGTGACTGTTTCATCAGCCAGCCCCATGTTTGGTTTGTTTTGTTTGCATAGTTTTGAGACGTGTACCTCAAAGTCTGAAGATGAAAGCTGAGAAGGCTTTGCGCGGAGCCAAAGCGAAACAAGGGGCCGGCCGAACAGCTGAACCTTGGCGGACTCTGAATAGGTGGCTTGCTCCGAACAAATGGCCGGGTGTTGCAGAGATCCCTTGATATGCGGATTGGGTTGCGCTTGGTGGTTTGGGGATGTCCCCATCGCTTCCGTTGGCAAGTGCGCGCGCATATTACCACCGGCGCCAGGCGAAGCACAGCGTGTCCGGAGAGAAGGGATATTGTGGCGGTCATCCCCAAGACCCCAACGAGCAGTTTCGCCCCGGCCTTGATGAGAGTCGATATGTTCGGGACGGGACACGTCGATGGGGGACGCGCCAATGGGGACACGTCAATGCTGAGAGTGGCTCTGCTTTGCCCGAGGCCCAGTTTTTGAAGGCGGCCAGCCGGATCCTCAGTGGCCTTGGTCATAGTTTTTGATTTCTGCCGCCCGGAGACTAAACAAAAAGAAGCAACGGGATTCAACTCAGACTCAGAGTTGGATTCTTGGATTCATTAGCACCTGAGCCCCGATATGCTTAAATGATTTTGGGGGGTACATAGCCCTTGTCAACCTTTGGTGAAGCTGACCGATGTTCACTGCTGAAGCTCGCAACCTGCAGGTTTGCATGTTTCTTGTTTGCTACTTCCAACATTGCACCTTTCCGCCTCTTGAACGGGGATTGCTTCACTTAGCAAACGGTCGGCTGGGCGAATGCGCCCAGATCTCTCAGGCGGAATTTCCCATGGTGCACGGGGTCGGAGCCGAAGCAGGCCAGCAGGGGACTCCAATGACTGCAGATTTCCTCCATTAGGCTGGTTTGCCTAAGATAGCAACCACCAGCTATGAAGCTTTCTTGGTGACAATGCAACTTGGAACTCTTTGGCAGAAAGCAAGAGCTGATGAAGAATGTGTTAAAACCGGGCGCACTTCCAGATGGTTGGCTTCATATTGGTTCTTTTTGGAGAGCACCCCTGAACAAGGCTCCTGCGAAACAGCCAACTGGCCCTGTAGAATGGAGAGAGAGGTTCGTTTGCGAAAGCTGTTGGGTGTGCTTGTGAGCTTTGCTTGGACCGGGATTTGTTTAAGGCCTTTGGGCAATTGTGGTCTGCCCGATGTGGAGGGTGTTAAAGGCCAGCAAAGTTGTTGGGGATCTTAAAGACAAGCAACGTGGAGGGCCTACAGCTCCCCACCGAGGCACCCCGATCGATTTGGCCGCCCCATCGCCCTGGCAGGTTTTCGAAGAAACACAAGTAGCAAAAGGCGATGAATTCCATACCCAGAGGATCAATTGGAGCCAATACACCGGCTTTCCCCCCGAATTCACAGGCATGGTCATCAACCTCTCAAGGACCTTAGAACCATCGGATGATTCGTCGCTTTCACCCTTTTTTTCGCGGCTTTCGGGGATGGCTCCAGGCACCCGATCACCAATGCTTGTTCAATCATAGGCACAAGTGGCATAGATTTGCTTCCTGAGAAACTCTTGAATGAGCACCAGCCTGGTCGAAGCAACAAGGGCGTCAAATCCAGAAAAAGCAACAAGGCTGACTTGGACAAGTCAATCCGGAATCTGTGCGAGCTCTGTTACGCCTTAGGAATCCTATGGCATGGATTGTTTTGGTATGGCTTGGTATGGTGTTTGCTTTTTGGGAACCCCCATTTGGTTGGTTCTATTTGGAAACCAAATGGATTCCAAGCATTTTGGGCCCCCCGTTTGAATGCACCCCTGTATTGGGGGAAGCTGCATTATCCTCAGCCCCTGCTCGATTTCGGTGACTTCAGTGGCGGACCGGCTGCTTCTCCGACAAACAACGACCAACCAAACAGCAAACGATTTGCCCGTAGCACATCACCGGGCTTCAGTTAGGATACGTTAAACCTTCAACAGGTGGCTGTCATTTAATGTACATGTTACCGCTCAAACGACTCCAAGATGTGATGATGGGAGTTGACATGTTTGTTGTTTTTTTTTCTGGCACCCCACTGTTTAATCAGCAAGCAACTGGGGCTGCCAAGCCCACGGCATGTGTTCATCTTTGGGAACCAAAATGAAGGAAGGATGCCTGCCAACAACAAAATGATGCCGGAGCCGTTGCTTTGAACGGGGCCGGGTTCGAACAGTGATCCAGGCAGGTTTCCAGTTCAAAAAAGCAGGTTCTGGATATTTTCCCGGGTGAGTCTTGACTGCATATTGGGACCATTCTTGGGTTTCACATTCAGAGATCAGACGTACGAGAAATGCGAGTGCCGCCTTGATCGCAGGTGTTTCCAGAGAGCGAGTGGATTTGCTTCGATCACATGGGTCTCCGTCTCAGAAGAGCCGAGTTCAGACACGGAGAACGAGGTTTCCCCAGAATAGTGACCTTTTCCTTGATGACGTTAAAGCGGAACAAACGTAAACACACCATTGAAGGGCTCCAAGTCCGACTTTACCACACAGAAGACGACTTGGAAGCAACGAGTGGCTGAGGTACAGCACTGATCACCATCTTCCAGTGCATGACACTTGAGGGCTGGACAGATGTTCGCCTGGCCCGTTTGTGTGCCCGAAGGATCATGGCCAATACAGACCCCAGACCCTTTTGTGGAGAACTCCCAACCCCTCAAGTGCCCTCCACATGGACCTCACAAAAAACGACGGCCCTTGGGGTTATTTGCTCGTGTTCCAGGGCCGCATTTGCTTGTGCTTTGAAAATGCTGGCGCCGCCGTTGCCACTGCAACTGCAGCTGTGTGTTGCTCGCTGCGTGGCAGGTGATGTACCGACTTCAGGACCTGCGAAAGTGCGTGCGCGACGCGCACCAAGGGACACATCCAGGGATGGTTGACGTTCCTTAAAACGAGGAACGCCATGGTTTAGGTCTTCCTTTGTCTATTGAACACGCACAGCCCTGACTTGCAAGGAACATGTTCAATGGGAAGAAATCAGAAGTTATGGTTCACAATGGTTGGCTTCATGCTGGTTCGTCACATACTGCTGAAAGAGAGAGTGCCTTCGCAAATAGGGGTATACACAGATTCGAGAGGGACCTCAATGCATGAGGACATTCTACCCCCCAGGAAGACTCTCAATTGTCAGAACGGCCCCTTCTGCCAAGGCACTGCGAATCTTTTCTTGGGTGGGGGGCTGCTTTTTAGGGTTTCCTAAATGATGAGGCCCGTTTTGCCGTGTCGACCGTGCACGAAAACGTGCCTTATTCGGCCTCAACACACCTTCCAGGGGTAATCGGCGAATCTCGCAATCCTCGGACGTGTGTGATGCGATCTCTCGCACCGGGTCCAGGGTTCCTCCGGATCGTGCAGTCTCGGTGTTGTCTTGTCTTAACTTGTCAATCATTCCTCGGGTTTCTTGTCTTCAGGTCTTATTTGTCAATAGGGTACTATGCGACAAAATTGGGATGCGCCAAAATGCTGGTATTCGTGTTGGTTTCCCTTTAAACCCACCCCAAAAACGTAGCCTCAAATATTATGCATCAGCTACACGGCAAGATGACGAGGCTGCCGTGTTGGTTCGCCATTCGTGCAAGCTGGTATGCTCTTTTGGACTAGCAGCGCTTGCCGCCTGGTGCCTGGTTCCGTGTTGGGGGTCGTTCCAAGAAAGGGTACTTTGCATTTGTTCACTCAATTGGCTGACAGGATGGCTACGGCTTCGAAGTTGCCACAATCTACTTCTTCCTGCTGGTTCCCGCGCTTGACCCAGCATAGCCGGTCAGTCAGGTCAAAGCTCGTGTTCGGCTCAACTCGGGATGCACAAAGTTGCATCGTGCTGGTTTAAACATGGGCGTTTCAAACCCGAGGATATTATCTCTTGACAAAAAAACACAATATTTGTGTCAGTCGCCCGCAGGTCACCTCCTTCTTCCTCTTAAACGTCGCACTTGCCGTGGTGGATGAGGCAGGGAACAGAACACGTTTAGCTTGCGAATCGCCGCGTCAGTTTTTCGTCGGCCTTTGCAAGCTGGCCGTGATAGAATGTTAGATGTGGATCTTACTCGCACAGTACACAAGAGACTCCCATTCCGTGCGTGCAAAGAGCGTGGCAGCGGCGCATCAACCCGGACTGGACTCTCTTCAAGGACACACTTCAGGAGTAATTAGTTCGAAACATGATGATACACGGGATAGCACTGCATGACTAGTATTGGGGAGCAAGACGAACCGTTCTGCCTCATGCGTAGTGCATGTTAGATTTGTTTCTTCCCCAAGCATTACAAGCGCCGCCTGCTGACTATTCCTCAAGGCTCAAACACTCCGTTCAAAAGATTGCCAATCGGTTGGACAGCTTTCGCAGATCCGCCCTATAGGCACGCGAGGACTTTGCGGAGGAGGCACGCTGGAGATGATCGCAAATAATGATATATTTTCTGACATGGTCAGTGACCATGACAAAATGAGGTTATTCCTCGATGTCCTATGTCTGTTGGGACAAGCCATGAATATTGAACGTGGCTGAGACATGGTCAAGAGTTGCAGTTCATGCACCGGTATGTTACTACATGCCCATGGTTCGTCATGGCTTTTGTTATTTGTATACGGAGTGCCTGGTCACCATTGGAAGAGGATTGCTGCACGGTTTGAAGCTTTGCCCTATTGTTCAGCAACATCACAATAGAGAGTAACAGGTGTCCAGTACCCTGATAGATCATCTATGAATGCATAAACTGTGTCACTGCTTATAGATCAAACAAATTGTGAATGCGGGCTATATTTTGTTTCTTTGGAGAGTGGTTGCTCCACACACACACACCCACACTTAGGTAGACAGTGTCAAGCAACGATGCAGGCAGCGGAGGAAGCTGCAGAGGAGGAGGAAAAGATTGAAGCGGAGGCGCTTTACCGTGCATTTGTCGGGAACAGGCCACGGAGGCGCAGTCCAGCTTCTTCCTTTCACTCTTGGCTCCATTGGTTACTGGGTGGGGTTCTTTTGCACATACTTGATCCATTCTTCTACAGGCTCGGGAGGGCGCTTACACCGGTTGCGATGATACCGTCTACAGGCAACCACAAGGGGCGGACAAAGCTTCACTTTGGTCAGCCCCTTCCATTTGCCGCGTTGAAGTCATGCAGCAGGGTCCTTTCACTGTCGAAGGCTTCGCCTGTCGGAAACTGGGCCCATTGTGCTTGACCGAGTCCAAGAGAGAGCTTTGCGTTGGGACATGTACGAAACATGTTGTATATGGCCGCCGTCGCCATGACATCTTGCGGCCTTTGAAGGGAGACTCTTAAGAGACTCTTAAGAGGCAGCCTATTTGGATATATAGGTAGACATCCAAGTCAATCAAACCTAGGTAGATGAAGGTTAGTAAGGGATAATCCCAAACATACATGGCTGCAGCCGCCTTGTGAACTCTTTACACAATTCCAGGTGCACCATTTTAGTACCAGGTTTTTGAATATGACTCAGATGCTTGGGGATGTTTCCTTTGTTCCTTTCTATCATCAATCCGACCTGCATGGGTGGCTGATCACTTTGCACCACAACCAACAGAAACACATGGTCGGAAAGCCAAAGCACTCATGGAAGTGGACTGAGCGCAGTGCCAGAAAGAGACTGGTCTTCGCCTCCCTGTGGTCTTCGGTTCCCCATTTTTGGGCACCTCCGTTTGTCAGAGGCTCGCAGTGCTGCTCGCCTTTTGCACCGCAATGCTCAGGCGGAGATGTCAGAGCCTGTGCTGGGAACTCAGTTCCGAATCCTTTGAAGGCTCATTGTGTCTTCATTTGAGCAGAGCGGGAGCAGCGAGAATCTCTAGTACTCTTACCATCAGCTGCATGAATACTATGGATGACAAGCAAACACTCGTGTCTTGTTCAGGAATGAAGCAACGGGGATGTTCACTATCTCCCCTTGATCTGAGCTAGGTACCTTGTTTTTCTTTCGGGCCTTACTTGTTGGGTTTGGTTCGCACTTTGGAGACCTCCCGAGCGCCACTCAAAAGATTATCGCCTTTTGTAAAATCGATCGGCGGCCTTTGTCCCACAAACATCTTGCTGGTGCTCAGCAGGGAATGAGGGAATGACCCTCAGAAGCCATCCTTCCTATGGTTTCCTTTCAGTGACTCCCCAGGTTCATTCACTTCTGTCTTCGAATTGTTTTCCCCCCCGATTTTGCCGTTCACTTTTGCCACCGTTTCTCGCAGGCACGAGTTTGCCCCAGATTCGCGGCCCAGTGGATACGCGCCCGTGGCCTGGATGGGTGCCGCACTCAGCTGGGACACGAAGTGGGTCCTGGGATGTCCTGGGGGTCTATGTTTGGAGGGTAGGCCCAGCTTTTGGGGTGGGAGGGTGGGGATGAGCTGCCTAACTGCCCCCACGAATTCCCTGGGTGCAGCGGTTGAGTTGCAATACAGGGTGAGGAGTACGAAAGGCCCCACAGTGCGGTATGCCAAATCACGAATGGAAGCTATGTCAGCGTGGACAAATGAGCTTGCGTAGTACCAGCTTGGCTCTGAGAAGTTGACGGCACTCCGTATTGACGTAGTTTTCTTTTGGGTGTCCCACTGGGGGCCTTTGGCTATTTGGATCCTGCCTTGTTTGCTCTTGGTGGTGTGAATATGTTGTCAACTGAGTACCGGAATGGTTGTCATGCAGCTTGGCTAACACATAATTTGTAGGGAGATTGCGCTCAATGCTGGTTGGCGGACATACATGCCGTATAAATGCGTGCACCAAAGCGTCCGTTTCTAGTCCAGAGTCCTGCCCAGTTCAGCACATTAGTCATTGCTTTGCCGAGGTCACTTGGTGGATGCGGCAGGGGACCGGCGCGCTTTGAGACTAGGGCATGGACGTGACCAAAAGCTCGCACCGCAACGGGGCGCCCTTGAAACTTGCGACCTGAAAGCGAGCTGGCAGCATGCTTCAGCGGGGCTTTCGCCGGTTTGCACAGAAAACGGGCCAGCCCGCAGGATGTGACCAGGGCCATGTCAAAAGCGCTGGATGCCCCTGCGGACAGCGATGACCAGGAGGCGGGGATGCCGCGATGCCTGTTTGAATCTCGGCTGGACCTGTCTTTTTGAGGTGTACGATGATGACATGCATACTATACCCGAGTGCGGAAGTGTATTTCATGGCCATACGGTTTAAATAATATGATTGGTGTACTGTAATAATAATATGTGTATAGATAAAATATGTCTATCTAGGTACTCTAATCATAATTCATAACATAGCGAATCATTCACAGGATGAGAGCAAGTTGTTGTGCAGTCTCAAGGCGACACATTCCCCTCCCCCCCCACCCCTCCTACCCCCGGAAAGTTTTCACCTTCTAAGAGCCCTTCCAAGAAGGTTCTAAGAACCCCTGCCCCGGTAGGGGCCCGTCGCTGAAGCCAAGCGCAGGCTCCCTGGCTCGATGTGACCCTGGCGCGCAGCTCAGTGCCCCATGCGTCGCCCATGACCAACATGGACTGGGGAAGCTAGGGGTCCAGGGGTTCTTTCTCCCCTTGGGTGGTTCAAACATCATTTGTGGATTTGCATCTCGAGCTTCTCTTTGTTTGACAGGGACATTGCTTCCATTCTGCCTTTGGTGGGTAAGATAGACAACTGCCACGAGGGAGCCCCTTCCCTGTTCCATGAATTTCAATATCGACGGACTACTTGGAGAGAACCTCTGTTTTAACGCTGGTTGTTCGTGCTCACTGGAATCGCCAGAGTTTGCGTGTGGGCAGTGCTGGAATCGCTTGCACGTGCAGATCCGCATTCGCCCCTTTGGCATGTACCACCTGCATCCAGGCAAAACAGCACTCAGAAGCAGGGGCGGTTCTTTGGAACAGTGCCCTTCGCCAATGGATAGCCTTTAAACAGGTCCATGTTCAATGCTCCAGGTGAGGATCTTAAAGCGGATTGCCACCAATGAGGCTCGGAGGGGGGGCACCCGTTCCTAGGACCTTGTTGAGAGATCTTTGCATTTTGAGGGCTAAACATGGACCAAGGTCTTGGATTATTTTGTTGAGCAAAGATGAGGTAGGTTCGGCGAAACTGTGCCTGCGCGCACGAGCGCACATGCTCTAGCCACCTTACTCTGACAAAACCGACTTGTACCAGAGTAGTTTCGAGTCCAAGCGCTTGACTTTCGGTTGTTTTTCCTTCAATGGCCGTGAGAACGGACCCAGCTTGCTGGAATTTCATCCATATGTGTCCACGTACGGAGGACTCGAGAGAATCACTGGCTCAGGTGTGAAGGCTTTGACTAGCTTTAGCTTCTCTTTACTTTGTCTGCATTCAGAACTTACAGGTGCTCTAGTGGCTGGTGTCCAATGTCTTCCTTCAAGGAACCACAAGCGGATGACACTCACATGCAACACACGTTTGACAGCTACAAGCGGAATGTAACGGCCTGATTGCCTAGGACTAGCAGGGATGTTCATTCATCATTTCGTTTTGGATTAGACAGCCGGTAAAGGCGTATTTAGGGAGCCGTGATTTCACACATGAGCCCTTCCTTTATTACAAACACTGTGCGTAGCGAACGACCACTGCCACACATGGGTGCAGGCAGACAAGAGGGCTTCATCTTGTTTGCCCTGATGTTTACAATTTTCAGAGCTAGACAGGACACAACAAGCTGCATCTTGAGCTCGATGCTGAGCAATGAATCGCTTTGCTGGAATGTTGCGACCTTTGCGACCCTCGATGGCAGCGCACGATGTATTCATTATGAACATTGAACCCAAAAGCTGCCCTACAAGGATATCCATAAAGCATGATGCTTTTCAGGGTTCCATGTGAATTTGCGGGGGGGAGGGGGGGGGTAAATGGCGTGCATGTTGCGAATGGTTGAAACTGCCTTTTCGCACTTGGCAGGTGTTCACAAACATCATCATGTGCTTCATTGCGGCGAATGCTCCCTCCTCGTCTCATAGTGCGAGCCGCAACAGCCTCACACCAACGTTTGCAATTCGAAGTGCCGCGGACTTCTTTGTTTTTCCATTGTTGGAGCTAGTAGAGTCCAAGCGGAATGCGCAAATTGAAGCCGCCTGGTCTCAAAGTGATGGATGAACTGCGTGCTGAAATGACTCACGATTCATAAGCCTGTGTGCCAAAACAAATCAAATAACATGACATCCGGTCAGGAGTCAGCAGGGTATTGGTAAGAGGAACTTTCTTGTGCAAGCAGTATCAAATGCAGTAGCACAAAGCAGGACAGGGCCTCAAACAGACTTTGATACGCAGCATATTTTTTGGGATGAGGAGTAGGGTTGGCCCTTGGTCAACCTGTATTGGCTTTACTGTACATGACTGCTCACCGGTGTTTACTAAAGAGGTGCCTCTTGTAAAACGTATGGTGGGACTTTTGATGGAAGGCGCACTGTGTGATCGATGAAGCTGCGGCAACACGTGTTGATGCGTTTTGTCAGGGCTCCTACATATCATTCCTTGAGTGTCACCCACTTGATTGTTTACTGAGAGATGAATTCAAGTTCCTCAAGTTCGCCATGTCAATTGCGGCGACAGAGCATAATAGCGACCCAAACACGCCATTTTTTTGTTTGATTTTATTTTTGCCAAGTGTTGGCTTTTTTTTAGGGGGGTAGACGCGTCGTTGACCTCGGAATCTCCACTGGAGGAGTGACATATTTCCATGCCGGAGCATTGGCTTAAGTGCCCCGCTTGCCATGGCATTCGCCGCAGCAGCAATTCGAGCTCGGCAAGGAGTGGAGTCTGGTTCAGACAACGAGTTTCTGGATATTCCAAGGGCTTACAGAAAGCCGGTGGACACAGCCTTCTTGGCCTCAACCTGTACCGGCTTGGTGCTCTTCTTTTCGGGCCTGGGCTGGTTGCTGTCTTTGTTGACCAACACGCGAGCTGAGAGGGTGGAGGAATATGATGCTGACGTTCACCGTTGGCAGAGCATGGACAGGCCCCGGCTGCTGGATTCGGACATCCGGGTCTTTGCGCTGTGGCCTGCCACGTCATCACGCCAAGCCACACGCGTGGAGGCCCAGCTGATCCAGAGCTCCGAAGACGACTGGAGCTTTGACGACTCCGAGGGAGGGGATCGGGTTGATCCTTACTGCGAATTCTGCCTGTTTGCCCATTTGGTTTCCCGGATTTTCCCGTGCTGCGCGAAATCTGAGACATTTGCCCCAAAAGGTAAACCAAATGAGTTGTTGCTCCAGGTCTTTGAGCAAGTAAGGATGCGTATCAGCCATTGAAGCATGTCCTTCAACTGGAGATCCCCTGCTACTACGCAAACTGCTCGATGCTGGAGGAAAATGCTGCCAACCCTTTGGGTCATATGACCCAGGCCTCGGAGCCTTAGCTTGACCTGGCCATGTGAGGGAAAGCATTCGCCATGTGAGTCTGAGAGCGTACGTGCCACGTCAGGATTGGCTGCCACAAATCCTGCCTGCCTGGGAACATGCGCCGAGGGTGTCTTTCGAGTTCATAGCATCGCACAGTGGCCAGCAATCGCATTTCACTACGCCGCTGCTTGGTGCTCATGAGGCCTTCGGTGTGTGTTGTTTTCATGTGTTGTGTTTGCGATCCGTGTTTGTTTAGTTTGGTTTTGTTGTTTGGTGATGTGTCCCTCGAACGATCATGGGAGCCCTTCTGAATGGGCTTATAGGTGAGTCCGAGCTTATAATGGTTGGTGCATTCGTTGTGTTTTTGACACAGAACCGCAAATTGATCTGTTCCTTGAGTGATCCGCTATCCAAGCGGCCAGGGCGTGTCAAGTGAATAGCTCGCAATTGCGACCCTGTTTGGTAACCCTGTTTAGCAACCCCTTCACAAGGATGCACACAATATCGCAAGTGTTCGAGAAAGGTCCTGTTCATTGACATACCCAAATTATTTGCATAGGTGAGTCAGAAAGCAGACAGACCGGCTCTCAGAATTAGAATCAGACCTGGTGACCTACCCTTTCCTTTTGAGGTCCTGGAACATGTTTGGGCAAGCTTTTCAGAATCCAATCCGGCATTGTACAATTCGTGCATTGTCCAAAATCGGATACTCCACGTTCCTCCCTTTTGATTGTCATTCGAAGAGTAACCAGAAGGCTTTAAAAACACAAGTTCCTTTGCCATCGACCTCATTGGTTCCTCTTCGGTTGTCTCATGTGTGACCTTCCTCCAACCCAGTTCCGCAGCGCCCCTTTTCCCTTCTTCTTCCCCCATCCCAAAAAAGAACTAATTGGATCCCTTGGTTGCACCGTGCCAACCCGGACACCTCCTTCACTCGCCGAAGGCTTCGCTTTCGGCTCGAGTCGAGGCCTGTGCCACTGGCCTACGACCTGCGCACGGCCGCGCAGGCCCCGCAGCCCAGGCAGTTCTGCATGGGCCCCTCCCACGGCGTGTACCTCCAGCCCGGCGGGTGCCACCACGCGGACACCTGGGGAGCGAACGCGTGGAAGGGGAGTGGGGTCCTCTTTTTGTAGTTGCAACCCCCACTTCGTTTTAAAGGGAAACCTGAGGTGGAACCCCCTTGTTGGTTCGAATGTTAAAAGGACACCCGAAGAAAAACAATTTTGCCCTGCAAGAAGACGCACCCGAATGGAGAAATTGGTGGGGTCTGACTAAACTGGTGTCCCTTTATTGTCTCTCGTTTGCAACTACCGAAAGGGTCACAGTTTCTGGTAAGTTGTTGAACAGAATCCACTTTGCACTAGTTGGGATAGATGAACGCCTACGGAAGCTGGGATAAACGACATATCAACTGGTCCCGGATTTTGGTCATCCACGGCAAGTTTTTCTCAATTGGGGATTGTCAGATCTCCACAATTTGTTGAATGCCCAGACCTCCAGGGCGCTCGAAGTGCTACCATGCTCTTCTTTCGTTGGAGTGGCCTTTGTTCAACTGGTGCGCCTTGTTGTTTTCCGAGGGGTTTTGTTTTGTTGAGGAGGGGCACACCTTTGAGTTCTACAATGAAAAGGGTGCCCTTTCTTTCCTCTGGAAGTGCAAATATTTGGGACTTGCACAAAATTGAGATGACTTTTGACTGCGGTGAGCTGAGGAGCGGCTTACAGACCTTTGTGTCGCCATCGAATTCGGTGATGATGGCTGGCAGCTCCGGCATGCTCTCGACACGCGACGGTGGAATTCCAGCAGACGCACAGGCCTGGTGTGTTTCTTTCTTGAGGGGGTAGTACCCTCTTTGAGGGCTATTGGAAAGGGGAATCCCAAAGCAGCCACTCATTTGCACAAAGCCAAGCCCGACTGGTGTCGGCTTTGGGTATTAGTATTGATACATTGATACATAGTGACTTTGTAGGATCTCGGCAACACCTACGGGAACATTGATGTTGACAATGAACCAACGTATCACGCCTTCAGAATTCAAGGTTTTATAGGTTTGATGAGCATAGTCTGCATCCCTATCATGCAGGCCGTGAATTGTTGCCAGTACGTAATTGACATTCACCCCACCCCACACCCCCCCCCCCGCAATTCTTCTGGAGTCCATCCAAAAGCTAAGACACGAATTTGAGGCAGATCATTGTCCTTAAAAGCCCAGCTTGACCACATCCAAATTCTCTTTTGGCTAGTTGTTTGTTTCATGTGGCAGTCCTTGGCCAAGCCGCTGGCTGGAATCAACATGCCATTGCAGAATTGGAGGCTTGAGCTGGTTTTCCTTGTCAAAGCTCTGGAGGTTGGCAGCCTTCCCAGTGACAGCCTTTTTGCTTTTGTGAAAGCTGGCCCAGGCACGTTCGGCTGCAATCCTCAAGCCGGGTACGAGGCCACGACTTACACGAAGGATCCATGCTGGGGTCCGTATCCCAGAACCTGCAACAGCACCGCGCACCAGCTGCAGCTCACAATCCGCGGCTGGAATCTTGCTTCAGAATCAGAATCTGCGCATGGTCTGGGGGAAACAAGACAAGGGGCATTTTTTCGCAGGACGGCAGTCTATCAAACCCTCCCTGTCACCTGCAATGATTGTTGGGCACAGGCTACATTTGGATTATAGAATCCGGAGGGCCTGCGGATTTGCGGTGCTTTCCCTTTTGGTCGGGAACTCTTTTCCAGATCTATCGGAAGTTGATCTGATACGAGTTCATTCATTGTGAAGGGCTGCAAGCGCGCAAGAACGCATGCGCATCATTCATAGGCCTTTGATTTGGCGTGGCTGTTGAGCTGGTCTGGTGGTGCAGAAAGCAGCGACCCTCTAGGTTCTCTGTTGGAGGCTTGAAACGGCATCTTTTGGTTGCCAATTTAAGGTAGCGTTTGTTTGATGAGGTGAAAGGGCAGATGGAAGGGAGCCCCAAGTGGGTACTGATTTTCTGGCTGCTAAAAGGAATCCTTATGGCAGTTTCCCTTGTAGTGGCGTCCCACTACAGATTCTGGATTCGGCATCCCCCACATTTTAAAAAGTCAGATACTCCCCAGCCCCATGGAGCCCCAAAAGCTGTATAGAGGAATCGCCTTTGGATGACCCTCTTTTTGGGCTCCAGTTTCGTTTGTGCTTTGCGCAAGGGAGCGGCTCGAGCTTAGGAGCGACCCCTACATCAAGGCCTTGGAGGTGACCAACGGCACCTTCGACTTCGGGTTCAAGCCCGTCACCGAGCCTTGGCGTCCGGTTTCGGCCAAGATCTGCGCTCAGATCTTGGAAAACCTCGGTACCCCGAGATTTATTTGCGGTCTCCTCCATAAGTGGGGAGGGATATGTTTTAGGGTCGACGAAATATGTATCGTATGGAGAGAGGGATGCTTTCAATGGAGGACACCCGCCCAATACATATCGCTGGGTGGGGGTGGGGATGTTTCAGCCATTGTCCGGGCATCCGTTGGGCTACAGGAAAAAGGCTCCCTCTTTGTGCAGTAAACCCAAAGGGCTCCATCCATGTTTTTGTTGGACACCCCATTTAGACACATTAGTTTGTCTTTTTATTGAGGATAGTCATGTTTGGTTGGTTTCGAATGCACCCGTTTGGGTCTCACCTAGACATGTTCGATCGAGGAGCTGGCCGTTGGCAGCATCCTGATGCTCATTGGGGTCATCGTCTTCGGAGTCCCCATGGCCATACGATGCCGATCCAGACGCAAGAGCAAAGGACCCTGGAGGCCCACCTCCCCGTGCGCGCGCACACTGGGGCGCCCATAGGGCGGCTCCACGTGCTATGCTATGGCTTGAGTGTTGGGGAAGACTCCCTCAAACAGGGGTTGACGGACAAACATCATCATGATGTCCACAATTCAAAAGCTGAACAAAAAGGATCCTAAAAGCAGCCTTTCCAGCAGGAACACGAAAGTACCGCATCACCAGAGTGCATCTTTTGGAAGCACTTGCCTCCCGGTGCAAGTGAGTCCACTACTCAGACCATGATGCTACAATGGTGAGCCCTACTTACACTGGCCAGACAAGACACGCGGATGGCTCATGTGTTTGCTTTCATGTGTAATGCATCGCGTATGACATGGTGTCAATGTAGTTGAGCATTTTACACGTACACAATGACATATCAACCGCTTGTGGCATCATGCTAGAGACAAGTATGAATCAACCGCGTTCCGATACATAGTGGTATTTGAGTTGTGCAGGTGTTTCTGCATGGGCGAGTCCTTTGCTTCGCCAATTGCAAAAACCTCCGAAGATTCAAGGAATTACTGAATTATAGTGAGTATCAATCAGTTAGCACACGGCATTCCAACGTTGAGTGCTAACTGTTTGGGCGCTTGCGCAGCGTTTTTTTCCCAAGCCGTGGTTGAGGCCCAACAGTTAGCACTCCAACTAGTCTGGCAGTCGGATTGTTCAAGGTCTTTGAAATAAGGCTTGGCATCAAAATAGCTTTACATGGGCATTGGAAGGAAGGACGGAAGGAAGCAGGGAAGCACGGAAGCGAAGGAAGCAAAGGAAGCAAAGGAAGCAAAGGAAAGGAAGCAAGGAAGCAAGGAAGCAAGGAAGCAAGGAAGCAAGGAAGCAAGGAAGTAAGCAAGCAAGCAAGCAAGGAAGCAAGGGAAGCAAGGGAAGCAAGGGAAGCAAGGGAAGCAAGGGAAGCAAGGGAAGCAAAGGAAGCAAAGGAAGCAAAGGAAGCAAAGGAAGCAAAGGAAGCAAAGGAAGCAAAGGAAGCAAAGGAAGCAAAGGAAGCAAAGCAAAGGAAGCAAAGGAAGCAAAGGAAGCAAAGGAAGCAAAGGAAGCAAAGGAAGCAAAGGAAGCAAAGGAAGCAAAGGAAGCAAAGGAAGCAAAGGAAGCAAAGGAAGCAAAGGAAGCAAAGGAAGCAAAGGAAGCAAAGGAAGGAAGCAAAGGAAGCAAAGGAAGCAAAGGAAGGAAGCAAGGAAGGAAGGAAGGAGGGAAGGAAGGCAGGACGAGACTCAGAGCTGCGCAGGGTGCTGCAGAGTTGCGCAGGGTGCTGTTGCAGGGTGCCATGCCAGAATCATCATTATTTCGAAACATCCTGGGGGGGGGAGGTGCCGCAGTTGCGCCGATGGATGCACCTAAGCGAGAAGAGCGCCCTTCGCCGAATAATGGGGGTGCATGCCACGCACTAAAACTGCTGCGTTGCCATTTCAGTCAAGGGCAAAGACTGTATATGTAGATTTGGGAAAGTCAGTGGGTGTGAAGAGCTCAAGTCGTGCCATTTTAAGGTTCCTATTTTGGAAGCCTTGCCATGCTGTCTGTGAGAAAGATGGCGCGCAGGCTCGGGACTCGTCCTTTCATGGTAAGGATCAGCGTGCTTTGCCAAAGGCAGGTACGAGAATGACACTTGCCAACCTGGCAGGGAAGCATCAAAAAGCGAAGCGCAAAGTTTCCTTGCTCGGTGTTGATGGAACTACAACATTCTTAGCTTTGGGTAGGCGGGGCCCATCCTGTTTCATGTCCTCTTGTGTGGGAATCGGCAATTCAGTTCGGCTCAGAATCAGGGACTCGCATTTGGTGGGCTTTGGAAGAGTAGTGCTGCAAAGCCCATCATTGGAGGAGGCTGGCAATTTGACACCCAGCCAGCCTCTTTGGAGTTTACAGCATGGCCCCCAATGGTTTTGCCTTCAAAGAGGAGAACCTCCAAAATGGAGCCCAACCTCCCTTCGGTCCATGTTTGTTTCACGCACCCCCACAAAGAATACCACCTAAGTAAGCAGCCCACACCCAGAAGTGGTGCTGAATGCATGGATCTCCAGCCGCTGGTTGGGACGACTGCCGTGTGCAGAGTTGACATAAAACGGACACAGTACATACATATTAAGTGTATGCAACGTACATCAACAAATATACTGCACCCACACACACACACACGCACACGCAGAGACACACACACACGCAGAGACACACACACACACACACACACACACACACACACGTGTATGTGCTGGTCTATGGTATGCGCATGCGCCGAGAGATACGTCGAGGATACGGCTTTGTGCTTGCAATTGCAGTTGCGATATGCCGAGGTGGTCACCATGATGATGGACGGATACCCGCCCATCTTGGTCTTGCAGGAAGCTGCCGTACGGATCATTCGTCGTGTGGGCATGAATGGTCTGGTCCCTCTTGAGGTGGCAGCCACAAGCCAAACAACCAGAGGTCACTTGCATTCAGTTGTTGTTGTTGTTGTGTTTTGCCTGTGATGCTGTCTATGTTCGATTTGTACGAAGAATGGCTTCCCCCAACTTGTCATAACTTGTCTAGTCTTTGTGGACGATGCAGGTGGCTGAGCGTACACTAACCAGAGCATGCTCAAATCGGTCCCCTTGAGCCACCCCACTGAAAGCGTCTCTCGGAATGCGAATGGCACGCACCTTGTGCCCAAAGCGCGTTGATTTGAAGCATCCACTCCTACAAAGCACAATCTTAGTATTACACAAACATATAACAGATATATAGGTGTTTCGGATTAAGGAGTGACATGAACGTTTTGGCGAGGTGGGCCTTCCGCATAGACTCTCATCCGGGATGTTTGCCTGGCAGGATGCTTGGCATTGGGTGTTCAACCCAATTTAGGAGTTGGTCAGCGGAATGGTTATGAGCGAGCTTCTGCAATTACAGTTGCAAACATGGTGAATAGCCTGGACATTATAAGGGGCTCCTCATATTGGATGTCCACACTTGCAATCACAGGGTTTCTTGATACACAACCCCCAGAACCGACGCCCGCCCGCTTGTGTTTGTGGCCCCCCCGAATACGGAACCCCAATCAGAACTCAGGGCTTTTTGGGGGGGGCTCAGGATCGTATGCTTTGTCTGGATAGGATCGTCACATAAACCCTGGGTATTTGGAGAACTCTAGCGGTGGGTTTTGATTGGGCTGATCAATTCCGCAGGACTTTCTGGCCACCTGTGAGATCCTGTTCCTGGTGATCTTCTGCGTGGAGATGTGCATCATGCCCCATGCTCAGCAATCGAAGCAGCGCTAGACCGGGGCAGACCGGTGGGGATGCATGAATGATGTGGGCATGTGGTGTTTTTGTGCTTGCTTGCTTGCTTGCTTGTGTGCTTGCGTGCTTGCGTGCTTGCGTGCTTGCGTGCTTGCGTGCTTGCTTCCTTGCTTCCTTGCTTGTTTGCTTCCTTGCTTCCTTGCTTCCTTGCGTGCGTGCGTGCGTGCGTGCGTGCTTGCGTGCTTGCGTGCTTGCGTGCTTGCGTGTTTGCGTGCTTGCGTGCTTGCTTGCTTGCTTGCTTGCTTGCTTGCTTGCTTTCTTGCTTGCTTGCTTGCTTGCTTGCTTGCTTGCTTGCTTGCGTCCTTGCTTCCTTGCTTGCTTGCTTGCTTGCTTGCTTGCTTGCTTGCTTGCTTGCTTGCTTGCTTGCTTGCTTTGCTTGCGTGCTTGCGTGCTTGCGTGCTTGCGTGCTTGCGTGCTTGCTTCCTTGCTTGCTTGCTTCCTGGCTTCCTTGCTTCCTTGCTTCCTTGCTTCCTTGCTTCCTTGCTTCCTTGCTTGCTTGCGTGCGTGCGTGCGTGCGTGCGTGCTTGCGTGCTTGCGTGCTTGCGTGCTTGCGTGCTTGCTTCGTGTTTGCGTGCTTGCGTGCTTTGCTTGCTTGCTTGCTTGCTTGCTTGCTTGCTTGCTTGCTTGCTTGCTTGCTTGCTTGCTTGCTTGCTTGCTTGCTTGCTTGCTTGCTTGCTTGCTTGCTTGCTTGCGTCCTTGCTTCCTTGCTTGCTTGCTTGCTTGCTTGCGTGCTTGCGTGCTTGCGTGCTTGCGTGCTTGCGTGCTTGCGTGCTTGCGTGCTTGCGTGCTTCCTTGCTTGCGTGCGTGCGTGCGTGCTTGCGTGCTTGCTTGCTTCCTTGCTTCCTTGCTTTTTTGCTTCCTTGCTTTCTTGCTCCTTGCTTCCTTGCTTTCTTGCTTTCTTGCGTTCTTGCTTGCTTCCTTCCTTCCTTGCTTGCTTTCTTGCTTGTTTGCTGGCTGGCTGGCTGGCCGGCTTCCTTGCTTGCTTGCTTGCTTGCTTGCTTGCCCGCTGTGCTCTGCTCTGCTCTGCTTGATCTCTGTGCATGTTTTCTTTGCTTGCTTGCTTTGCTTGCACTCTTTGCTTGCCCGCATTGCGTGTTCTTCTGCCTGCTCTCTTTGCCTCCTCTCTTTGCCGGCCCTCTTTGCTTGATCTTTTGCCTGCTCTCTCTTTGCCTGCTCTCTTTGCTTGCTCTCTTTGCTTGCCTCTTGCCTTTGCTCGGTTTTTTTCTTGTTCTTTTTGCTTGCTCTCTTTGCCTGCCCTCTGTGCTTGCTCTTTTTGCCTGCTCTCTTTGCTTTCTCGCTTTGCCTGCCCTCTTTGCTTGCTCTTTGCCTGCTCTCTTTGCCTGCTGTCTCTGGTGCTCTCTTTACTTGCCCTTGTTGATTGCTTTTCTTGCCTGCTCTCTTTGCTTGCCGCCTGCCTTTGCTTGCTTCCTTTGCTTGCTCTTTTTGCCTGCTTTCTTTGCCTGTCCTGTGTGCTTGCTCTTTTACCTGCTCTCTTTGCTTGCCGCTTGCCTTTGCTTGCTTTCTCTGCCGGCCCTCTTTGCTTTATCTGTTGCCTGCTCTCTTTGCCTGCTCTCTCTGGTGATCTCTTTGCTTGCCCTTGTTGATTGCTTTTTTTGCCTGCTTTCTTTGCTTGCCTCTTGCCTTTGCTTGCTTCCTTTGCTTGCTCTTTTTGCCTGCTTTCTTTGCCTGCCCTCTGTGCTTGCTCTTTTGCCTGCTCTCTGTCCTTTCTCGCTTTGCCTGCCCTCTTTGCTTGCTCTTTTTCTGCTCTCTTTGCCTGCTCTCTCTTGTGCTCTCTTTGCTTGCCCTCTTTGCTTTTCGCATACCTTTGCTTGCGTTCTTTTCTTGCTCTCTGTGCTTGCCGCTATCCTTTGCTTGCTTTCTTTGCCTGCCCTCTTTGCTTGCTCCTTTGCCTGCTCTCTCTTTGCCTGCTCTCTCTGGTGCTCTCTTTGCCTGCTCTCTCTGGTGCTCTCTTTGCCTGCTCTCTTTGCTTGCCGCGTGCCTTTGCTTGCTTTTTTTCTTCCTCTTTTTGCTTGCTCTCTTTGGCTTCCGTCTGGGCTTGCTCTTTTTGCCTGCTCTCTTTGCTTTCTCGCGTTGCCTGCCTTTTTTGTTTGCTCTTTGCCTGTTCTCTTTGCCTGCTCTCACTTGTGCTCTCTTTGCTTGCTCTCTTTGCTTTCCGCATACCTTTGCTTGCATTCTTTTCTTGCTCTCTTCGCTTCCTCTCTTTGCTTGCCGCTTGCCTTTGCGTGCTTTCTCTGCCGGCCCTCTTTGCTTGATCTTTTGCCTGCCTCTTTGCCTGCTCTTTCTGGTGCTTTCTTGGCGTGCCCTTGTTGATTGCTTTTTTTGCCTGCTCTCTTTGCTTGCCGCTTGCCTTTGCTTGCTTTCTTTTCTTGCTCTTTTTGCCTGCTTTCTTTGCCTGCCCTGTGTGCTTGCTCTTTTGCCTGCTCTCTTTGCTTTCTCGCTTTGCCTACTCTCTTTGCCTGCTCTCTCTGGTGCTCTCTTTGCTTGCTCTCTTTGCTTGCTCTCTTTGCTTCCCGCATACCTGTGCTTGCATTATTTTTTTGCTCTCTTCGCTTCCTCTCTTTGCTTGCCGCTTGCCTTTGTTTGCTTTCTCGGCCGGCCCTCTTTGCTTGATCTTTTGCCTGCTCTCTCCGGTGCTCTCTTTGATTGCTCTCTTTCCTTGCCGCTTGCCTTTGCTGGCTTTTTCTCTTGCTCTTTTTGCTTGCTCTCTTTGCCTGCCCTCTGTGCTTGCTCTTTTTGCCTGCTCGCTTTGCCTGCTCTGTTTACTTGCTCTTTTTGTTTTCTCTCTTTGTTTGCTGGCTTTGCTTGCCGCTTGTCTTTGCTTGTTTTATTTTCTTGTTTTTGTTTTGCTTGCTTGCTTTGCCTTCTCTCTTTGCCTGCTCTCTTTGCTTGCTCTTTTTTGCTTTCTCTCTTTGCTTGCGGCTGGCCTTGGCTTGCTTTCTTGGCTGTCTTGTTTGCTTGCCCGCTTGTGTTTCTTTGAATTTGTTTGCTTGCCTGCATGCTTACTTGTTTATCTGGCTGTTTGTCTGTCCGCTGGTGTGTTTGTTTTCCGTTGGTGCGATAGTTCGTTTGTTCTTTGATGCATGGGTTGGTTGATTCGCTTTGTTGTTTCTTACCGACAGGCGGTTGACCAGCAATGTTTGCATTCATTCCACAGATGTCTCTCACAGATTGAGTCGTTTCTTGAATGGGAGCACACCTTATGGGACATACACCATGTTTGTTGCTTAGGTCTGGCTACTTTGGCCCGTTTGTTTGTTTGTTTGTTTGTGTTTGTTGTTTGTTTCTTTCTTTCTTCCTTCCTTCCTTCTTTCCTTCCTTTCTTTCTTTCTTTCTTTCTTTCTTTCTTTCTTGCTTTCTTTGTTGCTTTCATGAATTCTTAATTTATATATATATACATATCTGTATTTATTCCTTTCTTACATTGCTTGTTGTTTGTTCCTGTGTTGCTTTCTTTATTTCTGTTTTTCTTTGTTCGATTCTTTGTTTGTTTGGTGGTTGGTTTGTTTGTTTGTGTGCTTGTTTGCTTGCACGTATGTTTGTCCTCCGAACGTGGCCAAAGAAAGGTCCAAACAAACTCAGATCTGACCACTCAAGTGAACAAGTCACTTTACAGCCCTCTCGCATCGCACAACTGGTTTCCGCCTCTGTGTCCTTTGCTTTTGCGGGTCGGCTTACCTCAGCCGATGCCGAAAAGTGGCCAGCCAAGATTTTGCTTCTGGGAGGCCACTGCACAATTAAGACCCATTTGATTATCGCAAGGCTCCTGCCTTTCCGCTGTTGTTCTTTACTCCAGATGCAGCCTTTCACACTTTTGATGTGAGCGTTGGAAGATAACAGGGAACCTCCGAACTTCCACGAATTCCATGCCATGGGCAACTCACAAGCAGACAAGCTCAAATTAAATGTGGGCGCCTCTGTTTTGCCGGGACCCCCCCAAAATGGGCTTTTTCCTCTTGGTTTCCCTTTTTAACCACCCAAACGAGGGTTTCCCTTAAGCAAAACACCACATATCAAATAGAGGTGGTCCTTGCCGGTTTCCGTTGGTTTCCCTGCCTCGAAACCGATGGGGTCGAATGGGGCAGTTCTCTGAGGCTTGGCGCCTACGGGCCCTGCAGGCGCGTCGCAGTTTGGCCTATTGCCACTGGCCCTGAAAACACTACCCCCCCCAAAGAAAAGACGGGTGTATGTAGCCTCCAATGGGGGCAATTAATGTTTGGATGGTTTTGGATGGGGTTTTACCTCAACCCATGATGAAGGGTGTGATCTTGGGAGTCCCTTGTTGCAGGATGGTGAATTGTAGCCTAAACAGCGGGAGTTTGCCTGCTTACTTGAACAAGTGATAGCAACCTTAGTAGGACAGATTTGGCCAAATGTGTGAATTTTGGATTTTTGTCAGATTTATTTGGAATGAGTTGTTCTGTGGCAAGGCATCCTGCGGTCTGAGGTGGCTGTCTCTGTGTGTGTGTGTGTTTGGCAAGTGCGTGCGTGCGTACTTGCGGCTGGGTGGGCTGGTCGATGGAGGGAATTTGTTTGTAAGTATGGACTTTGTGTGCATGTGGGTTGTGGAGTCATTGTTTTGATGCGTGTTAGCTTCTTACCGCTCATTTGTGCCCGGTGCGATCGGCTCTGTCGAGGTACTTGCGAACGCCTGTCATGTGCTTCGACGGCATAATTGTGACCATTTCTGTGGTGCAGGCGCTATGCTGTTTCCGCTGTGTTGCTTCGGAGTCACCTACTCGTTGTGATGTCCTTTTGGCTGAAGATGTAGATATTTTTTTGCTTGTGTGTTGCGTTCCCTTTGAAGTTTAGGCAACAAAGAAGGGAGCCAATATTGTATTGGCTTGGCTTTTTTGTCCCTGGCCACTGGGCAAGTAAGTCCGCACTTGTGAAGTGGAAGGAGTTGACTGAACGCAGTGTTTAGTCGAAAGTGATGAATGCCCGTGGTCGAGTTGCCTGTTTCCTGGGCTATGACATTTGTCAGGTGGGAAGGGGTTGGACGGCAAAACATGCTGAGGGCCAAGCTTCGAGACCCTCTTGGCCCCAGGAATTGAAACCCTTTCTTGGGCATGAAAGGGAATCTAAGATAAGATGAAGCAAGCGATTGTGAGGCAACACTATTTTGTGAAACATCGCGCTTTCAAAATAGGGGGCTTGATGAAACTGGTGAGTTGCGAAGGGGATGCCTTATATTGAGAAGCATCCATTTGGACCATGGACTTGTGATGCAATTCTTCAAGCTGTCCAACATCAGGGGCTTTTTTTGGTCCGGTGTCATTCTGTGAAACTATTCAGTACTCTATGGTCGGTTAGGAGGGATTTTTTTAGGCTCAAGTACTCATGTCCCGTAGAGCCACACTTGCCAAGTCGCCTCACGCGCGTGTGTGTGTGTGTCAAAATAGGGGGATCACACAAGTGGTTGTCCTTTTTCCCTTGAGCCCAACCTGAAACGGGTACCTCAAAAGAAACACGCACACGCGCACACCCACGCCCTTCAGGGCAATCGCTTCATTTCACGGCAGGTCTTGACCTCCCCGGACGGAGAGGGCGGCCCCTTCACGGCACTGCGCACTTTGCGGCTCTTCCGGGTGCTTCGCCTGGGGGTCGGGAGGAGGGGCCTTTAGATTTTCTCACTTTAGGATCGAACCTTTGACCTTTAGGGCTTTCGGAATATCCAGAAATCATGTACCCTGCCACCAATGAACATGGAACCTGGCAGGTCCCTTTAAAAGGGAAATGGTCCAAACCAGGACTTTTCTCGGGTTCCATGTTTGCTGGGAGGGTAGTGAAGCTTGGCTCACCTTCTGTTCCCAGGCCCTGCCAAGTTCTGACAGTTGCCAAGTCTGGCTCAAGCAGTACTTGAAAGGTGCCTTGAGACAACGGGACATAGTCTGGCACTGTGATTTGAACATGGTTGAACAAAAAACCAGGGTCTTCTTTTCTGTTTGAAAGGGACTTTGCAGTTCCATGGCTTGGGTGGGTTGTACAATAATGACAGAGCCACATTGTTGATTTGGTGCAAGTCCAGCCATGAGTTCCACGAATTTGATGGCACCATTTGTTTGCCCATGTTCCAGTTCCAGGCTCTGCAATAGTGCCCCAGTGAGCATCACACAATGCATCTTGGGGACATGTTGCTTAGCGATCGAAAGAAAGACCCTTGCGAATCGAAGTGCTACACGAACCCAAAGATATCCGGCTTTGAGAGGCATATAGGCTGCGGGCCTTCTGATATGCCATCATTTACCCCCATGTGGTCGGCGTGTTCTAAATGTATGGCATGTGGGAATACAGCTGGTGCCTGTTGAGATCACTTTCCCGCTATGTGGTGGGCTGGCTTTTGGGCTGCTGTAGAAAGGCAACCTGCGGAAAGCCACCCAACATTTCTTAAGCGTTCACTCCGTGCAAGGCACAAAATTCGGATGCTGTTCAAGGGAACCCTCATGAAACTATTCATTTCTGGGGCTGGATGGTTTGAGGCCACCCTTGTCAGGTTGGTGAAAGGGAGGCCAACAGGAGAGCAGCCATTTTGTGGGTTTCTTCCAATTTGGCTGATGCATGTGAGGCTTTTGGAAGGAACATAGGGGGCCTCAAAAGTTTCCAAGAACTGAGATATTCTGTTCGTAGTCCCATTACTTCACCATTATCAAAGTCAGCTCCTAAGTTGCAGCTTCAAGGGACACAGCCCCAGTTGCTGACTTTGAGTCACAACGCCAAGAAAGCAACCGTCAAGCTCATGCCAGACGGTTATCCCAAGTCCGTTTTTGTTGGGGGCAAACCTCATTTTCAGGTGCTCAACAAGCTGGCGAGCCGATGGCCCTCCTTCCGGGTGCTGCTGAAAGCAGGGAACCGGCTCGTTCCGCGGATCTGGCGGTCGGAGGGTGGATCCACCCAATTTCCACCGGGATCGGGGGTTGGGCTGGTCCCCCACAAGGGAGATTGATTGAAGAATGTGGTTCTATGCTTTCAGAAGGCTTGGCCTTGCCTTGCTCTTCACCCATCCGTGTGTTCAGAATTCACTCATCTCATCCGATTTGCTGTTTTTGTTGAAGAGAAGGATCATTGAAGAACATAAGGAGGGTACGGCTAGAGGTTTGGGTTGGCAAGAATAGTCCATATCGGTCAAACTAGCGGTTGACATTCGGGTAGCCTTTACAACCTGGGGACTTCCCACACACTTCATGCCTTGCATTTCCTACGTGGAACCTGCCAGGGCCCTGGAATGTTCGTCAAGTTTCCCTCGTGGGACCCGAGGGGGAGGAGCTCTCAAGTTCATGAGGGTCTGGTCATTTTTGGGTATCACTAAAACGGGGTCAGGTGCCCCTTCCCAACGGGAAGTGTTTGTCGGCTTGCGTTTAAGAACGGGGGTCCTAGTTTTTGACACACCTCAATAGGCGTTGGCTTCTTTCGTCCGCACATATAAATGCCATGCTCATATAAGCAAAGCCAAATATCAATTTGGTTTGCCAGAGATTTACCTTTAATTACCTACTGTGAATGGACAGATTCCTGCATGGAAACCAGTGGGCACCATTGTTGGTTTGTATTTACAGAAGAGCCATCATTGCAGAGTTTCTTAGGTGGTGCAGGATTTCGCCCATCAACAGTATTTGGTTTGGTATCCGCAGCAATGTGCAAAAGCATCTTTGGGTCTGGCAAAAGTCCGGAACGTTCGGTCGGATTCAAAGTTTGAAGGTTTACGACCCCCAGGTCACTGTCTTTCCAAATGAGCAACCGTCAAAACTCGCGTTATCTAGAATATGATTTCGTTGGACATCCGCTTTCCAAAAGTGAAGAAAGCTGGGGGAAGCGATGGGGGCGTCCCAAAAGCGACGCCCTGCTCTTGTATGTATCAACTTTCAGAGAGGGGATATTGCTTGCGCTACTTGAGCGCGGAGGTTCAGAGGAAAACCAAGCAGACACCATCCATATCGCAAGTCCCTCACAAAACGACAAACCCATATTAACACTTGACAGCTGTTGGTTGCTAGATTAGATGTGCCTATGGCTGTGCTTGAAGCCAGACCACCATATAACATGTACAAAGAAGACGCGCCGAAGCGATGCCCGAAGCGATGCCCAAATGATGCCCGAAGCGACGCCCAAAGGTCTTCAAGTTGCCCATTTGGGTGAACAACACTTGCCTTTGTCGGAAAGCCCTTGGTTTTGGTTTACCATCCTGCAGCAGAACCTGCGCAACTCTGAGTCTCGGCCTGCAGCAGCTCCGTGCAACAGCGCCCTTCAGCAGCATACTCAACAACACCCTGCGGCAGCACTCTGCAACAGCACCCTGCAGCAGCGCCCTGCAGATGCGTATGCTGGTCGTGTATGAAGAAGACATCCACGGGGGACCAATTAAGTTTAGTAGCGCAGGTTGGCTTGGAACCCAAGAAGCAGATTATTGTAATTGGTTCCTTTTGACTTGGATAATTTGAGCAATGGGTCCATTGCAACACTAGACATGCCCGTATTTGAACATACAATATATGTAAGAGCGATGCCCTGTAAAACAAGAACGCAAAAACATGCGGGAAGCGATGGGGCGTCCCAAATTGGCGGTGCCCATTGCGGGATACAAGGAGTTTAGACAGCCGCACAAATGGTTTAAAGCCTTGGTGACCCTCGCAAATCCCAGACATGGTGACGCTTTCCCAAACTGCACGCAGCACAGATGTTTCGCTTGGACCCTGCTTTGATATACATTTCGCCTTTTTTGTAGTTTATGGGCAAAAAACGGCTCTGCGTTATCTTGTTTTAGGGTCGGCAGCAAACAAAAAGCAATAACACAGGAACGCACACACAAATGCGGACAGGCCATGCTCTACACCGGGAAGTCTTTGAGCTATTGGATTGTTCTGCCTGGAGCCCCGGGCTCGATTCGTGTGCCATGGACCTTGCGGTCATGCCGGTAGGGCATCCCACTCGCTGCTCATGATTTTGGCTGTATCTCATGTCATCCACTTGACGGAAGATGATGCACCTTGATCGTTTCCGAGTGAGCCCAATCAGAACCCCGTTTGGATTCATCCCCACAGGTATATATGCTCCAGTTATGCTGCTTTCCGTCCGTTCCAGGGACCACCTTTTACACTTGACGCGCACGCAACTCCCAGACTTCTGGACTTCAATTGTGTGAGCCTGTTAGAAAGCATAGACGAATATGCGCTTGCTTTTGAATATCATTTAAGCCTTTGTAACTTTAGACTTGACTTCTTGCTGTAAGCAAAGCCAACGATGTTTTCGAGTTTCCTTTTTCAAGCATTTGTGTGCGCTTGGCCTTCAGAGATGTACAGCTTGAACGTTCGCATATGATCAGACCCAGTAGGAGAACCAAGCAAAGAGCGACTGAACCCGAAATTGTCAATTCCTATTCGGAGAACGTACTCAATTTTGCGTGGCTCATGTGCATGACAGCCTCTCCAAATCGCTCAGCTTGGATCTTTTCGCTCACCGCGAGCGGTTCAACGAGTGCTCGCGCGCAGGTTTTCCTTGGTCCTGTACATTTGCACCCTGATGTTCATCCAGCTCTTCCAGAGCAAGTTTCATTTCGTCGTTCGCCTGGCCTGTTTTTTTGCCCGGAAGCGAGCTGTTTGGCGGGGGGCATCGTCCATGTGTGTTTTTCTCCTGCTGGTGGCTTGCATGACAGAGGGGTCATTCAAAAAGAAGCGCCAGAGCCACAACAGCCGGGAATCTCGACGAGATGTATCCAGATATAACTAGAAGTTGTTTACCAGTAACCACAGCAACCGCATTCCGGGCTCTGACAGTTATGCCACGGGGAGACTGCTGGGTTTCCTGAAAGCCGCCAGGACGTCGACACACTCGGGGAGGTAGCCCCCGACCAGGGCCAGCCATGGCGCGGCGCTCGGACGTCAGTGACACCCGTGTCATTCCTTCGTGTTTCCAGTCAAGCGCAACAGACGAATGGAACCAGAAACAAGAAGGAAACCAGTGGACTGTGAAGGACCGCGTTTTTTCTTCCTGATGTCCAGGTTTCCGACGAGGTGCCCTTGTTCCCACCCCCACTGGGCAAGTTGGGAATTTAGAGCTGGTCGAATGTTGCAGAATGCTCTATCCCTTGGTGCAGCCACCCGATTCAAACGGCCTATGCATTGTGATATGTGGAAAGGTAAACTGATGGACAATTTATCCAGCAGTTGGATGGATGGATGGATGGATGGATGGATGGAGGGACGGACGGACGGACGGACGGACGGACGGACGGACGGATGGATGGATGGATGGATGGATGGGCGGATTGATTTAAGGATGGATACGTGATATAGACACAGATTGATCCTGAGCCCTAATTAAGGATCATGTTTGTCTTGTTTATTGCTTATTTCGCCAAATGAGCGGAATTTGCGAAATCTGCGCAGAAACTGCCAGTTGCATGTTCCGCAAGCAATTTCTGCTGATTTGGCCTGCTATTACATCTACCAGCGTTTCTCAAACGGCTTTCATGGGGCACCTTGCAGAATAGGAGTGGGACGCGTAGGTTTCCATGACATGGTGCAGGGATGCGACACAACCCCAAACAAGGTAGTTGTGTACGCTTCATACGTAGGACACTCCGAATTGTTTCCAAAATCCTTCGAATTAGGCCACCCAAAACTCGCGGAAATCTGCGGAAGTACGCTGAAATTGCCCGGACATACGCGGAAATCGGCGGAAAGGCCAAAGGTAGACACTGTAGATAGGGACAGAGATAGATATCTAGATAGACAGATACACATCTAGATAGAACATCATATATATATATATAGATGGATGGATGGATGAACGGATAGATAGGCAGGTAGATAGATAGATATATATATATATAGAAACAGACAGATAGTTATAAATAACAAAAGATAGACAAATAGATAGAACAACAACTATAACAAACGACAGATAGATAGATAGATAGATAGATAGATAGATAGATAGATAGATAGATAGATAGATAGATAGATAGATAGATACACAGATAAACAGATAAACAGATAAACATATTTACAGACATATTTATAGGTAGATTGATACATCAGTAGATCGATCGATATCGCTCGATGGATCGATCGATAGATAGCTCGGTAGATGGATAGATAGCTATTGATAGATAGACAGATAGACAGATGGACAGAAGACAGACGGACGGATTGACAGATCGACAGATGGACAGATCGATAGGCAGATCGATGGGTGGGTAGATAGTGCGGTAGATCAGTATGCATAGAAATTGCGTAAATAATGATACTCTCTCTCTATATATATATATATATATTTACATGGTATGGGTATATGTAAATAGTTCCACGACAACTGGACACGAAGTCGCCTCACGGTTTGATACCACTTTTTGACACTCGCAGAGGACACTTGGTTGTTCTGCCATTCTCAAAGTCAGTCTTCATCCCCGAAGCAATATAGGTTCTTGCAAGCACGTAAAGCCGCCCAAACCTGTTCCTCAACACGCGGCTACGGCTCGGGCCATTGGGTCCCTCTGGCAGTTTCCTCCGGCTCGCACAGGGGTTCCTGAATTTCCGTTGTTTGGACCTTCACAAGTGGCAATTTCATTGGATCCCACCAGCGAATTGCAACTTTTGAAGGGGGAATCTAGTGAGCCCTGTTGCAACTCCCCTCGAGGTGTGCGGGCACGGAGGGTTTGGCCTCGAACTTCAGACAGGACGGGATGGTGTTCTTAGGTGACTCGGCGAGGATGTGCAATAGATTGTAATTTGTTATATCTGAAAAGCTGGGGGTAGGTCCCTAGCAACTGTGGCTCAACAATAGTTATGGCCTATCTAGTATGAGGGTGATTGGACAGCTAACTCATCAACCAAACTTAGGGAGCTGTTTTGGGAGAGGTCTCATATGTAGTCTATATGTAGTGTTCAAAGTCTGAGATTGATTGAAGGCAAATCCATTCTGGGTGTCCGGTCCATTGACTAGTAGAGTAAAGAGGGTCTCAACTTGTCCAAGCGCACCGGGAATTTATGTGCAAATCATGCTCGTGTTGTGAAGCAGGGCTTATCTTCAATGCGGGGAACCCCGAAATCGGTGTTTTCCTTTCGGTTTATCTTTAAAGCAACAAGACGGGCTCTCTGAAATGGCATGATGCCGCTTGCAGCGAGCCGTGCTGCACCGAGACTCCTGTCTTGAGTTCCCAAGTGCCTGACTCTTCAGGTGTTGCCTTTCGACCATTGCCCTTTTCTGGGCAAGAGTGGGATGACTCTGGCGACTGAGGGGTCGCACTGTTTTCACTGCTTCACATTGTGTTTCAGAGCCATAGGCTACGGAGCTGTAGTCTGTCAGCCCCGCAATGGCTCAAAATGTGTCCATGACGAAACGTCAAACTAGAATCCGGACTCGCTGATTAAC